GCCAGCAGCCATTTCACCATCCTCAGGACTGTGTCCCCAGTGCCCTCTCACCCCAACTACCCTCTCTGGCCTGAGGACCATCCCAGAGTCCCCTCCAGCACCCACCCACCCAGGTTCCAGACCACCTGCCCCCTTCGCCAGAATCCCGGAATCCTTCCGGTTCTCAAGGACTTGTGAGGAAGGCAGAAACCCTCAGAGAACGCAGCACCCACCCAAGAAGGCATGGAAATATCCACCTTGTAAGAGACAAGCGTCCTTGAAACACAGTTTCTTTGTCTTTTTGTAGAACTCCCTTGTTTTTCCTTCCAGTTTCTTGCCCCCTTCCCAAATTCTAAGCAGGTCTTGATCCAGCCTTCTTAAATTCAATCCAGAAAACTCGTGTAGAGCATGTGCAATGTGCCTGGCACCAGTGCAATAGCTGGGGACAACACTCGTCTGTCCTCAAGAAGCTCACAGTCTAACGGGGAGACAGAAATGGTGGTTCCAGGGGTAGAATCGGTTTTTTATTGCCCAGGTGTCATACAATGTGGGAGGCCCTCCGTAACGAAAAAGAACATAAAGTCAGCTGGATGTGGTGGCACCTGTAGTCCCAGCCACTCAAGTGGCTGAGGTGGGAGGAATGCTTGAGCCCAGAAGTTCAAGGCTGCAGTAAGTCATGACTGCACCACTGCACTCCAGCCTGGGTGACAGAGTGAGACCCCGTCTCTTTAAAAAAATAAATAAATATAAATAGAAAGTAAAATAAAAAGGAACATTTGGCCAGGGCCTCTCCTGAAGCTTTGAAATGCCTTTGTATAAGAGACCTGGGCTCACACCTGTAATCCCAACACTTCAGGAGACTGAGGTGGGTGGATCACTTGAGGTCAGGAGTTCAAGACCAGCCTGGCCAATATGGTGAAACCCCATCTGTACTAAAAATACAACAATTAGCCAGGCACGGTGGCACACACCTGTAGTCCCAGCTACTTGGGAGGCTGAAGCAATAGAATCGCTTGAACCCAGGAGGCAGAGGTTGCAGTGAGCCAAGATTGCACCATTGCACTCCAGCCTGGGCAACAGAGTAAGACTCTGTCTCAAAAAAAAAAAAAAAAAAAAAAGAGAGAGAGAGAGAGAGACCTGGGTTCCCTGCTCACGGTTGAGAGAACAGAATGGGACCCCAATGCACAACCATTCAAACGAAGACAGAAGAGAAGGGTTCCCGGAGGGTGGCTGCCCACTCCGGAATTAAACCACTATCTCGGTGCTTTCTCCCTTTGCTCTCTTTGTCTGCTCTGTGAAAGAATGCATGATGTATTCCACAAAAATTTACTTAGGGCTTATATAATAATTGGGATACATTTCAGCTGCCATAACAAAGACTTACAATGGTGTAAACAAACCAGGACTTTCTTTCTCTGCTCTGCACAAAAGCAGCCCAAGGCTGGCGTGGAACCACCATGGTTTCATGGCCATGGGCTTCTTCCATCTTGTTGATCATCCATCCCTGGTGTATTGCCCTCAGCTACACTGTCAAAGATGGTCCACACTCCAGCCAGCAAGGAGAGAGAAGTGGGGAGTAGAAAGCCCTCCCCTGCCCTTTAACGGCACAGCCTGGAAGTTCGTACACCTCTTCTGCTAACATCTTGTTGGCCAAAATGTGGCCACACCATGGTATGAAGATGCCAGGGAAAGGAGAGAGAGTAAAGTACCCTGGGTGGACGGACACATGCCCCCCATATCAGGGTGTATCATGACTGTAAAGCAGGAAAATGATGCTGTGGGCAGCTAGACACCTCCGAGGTAGCCTGCTGTGTGCTCAGGGCTGTCTAGGAAACCAAGGTGCTAAAGAAGTTCTGGTTCTTCCCAAAGCCACCAAGGACAGAAATGTGAATTAAACAAGCCGTCCCTGCAAACGCTCACCCAATTCTGTCATTTTGGCAATTCCAATTCTCTCCACCTGACCCTGGATTCTGGCAGAGATGAAACCCCAGGACCATCAGAGGGGCACTGGAGAAAAAGGTGGCAACATAGACTGTGACGAAGTTGCCAGAAAGGAAGGGTGAGAACTGGGAAAACAGTGGTATGGAAATCGTATTACCCAAAGTTCATCAATTTCAGGTGCTACAGAGGGTCAACGCAGGGCAAGGACCAGAGGCATTCTATGGGATTTGCCAAAGACGGGACCAAGTCAGTCGCAGGAGAATGGTAGGGGGTGAAACCTAGAGAAAGTGGGTTGAAGGGCAAGTGGGGAATGAAGATGTAGAGAGAGACAGTGGAGACTAACTGAGGTTCTGAAAAGCAGGAACGTGTTGAGGAGAATGGTGAATTCTTGATCACGTTAATCCAAAGGATAAAGAATCGGTGAAAAGCAAGAGACTAAAAATAATGAGCAGAAATGTAATTTGGCTGCTTTAACGAAGACCCACATAATAGGGGCCAGGCGCAGTGGCTGAAGTGTGTAATCCCAGCACTTTGGAAGGTCGAGGTGGAAAGATCGCTGAACCCAGGAGTTTGAGACCAGCGTGGTCAACACAGTGAGGCCCTGTTTCTACAAATAATCAAAAATTAGCCGGGCGTGGTGGTGCACGCCTGTAGTCCCAGCTACTCGGCAGGCTGAGGCAGGAGAATTGCTTGAGCTCAGGAAGTCAAGGCTGCAGTGAGCCATGGTCACGCCACAGCCCCCAGCTTGAGTAACATATTGAGACCCTGTCTCAGAAAAATAAAAAAAGACCCAGAGAACAGTGGCTTAAACAAGATTAAAGTTTCTTTCTCTCCCATGTAAGAGTCCGAGTCGAGGGCTGATAGGGAGCTTCACAGTGCTAGTGACCCGGGTCCTTCCAACTTTCTACTCAGCCACCCTCAACATGCGGCTTCCACCTCATGGCCCAAGATGGCTGCTGCTGCTCATACCATCATGTTCACATTCCCAGCCAGAGCAAAGAAGGAAAAAGGACGGGGAAGATTATCTTCATCTTCAGGGCACCACCCAGAGGTTGCTCATATCATGGCTACCCAGTTTTCATTGGCCAGAGCTTGGAGACTCGGGCACATCTACCTGCACGAGAGAGTGCAGCAAAGTACTCTCTGGCTGAGGAGGCCAGGTACCCAGCTAAAACCAAGGACTTAGAAGACCCAGAACAAAGGGAGGAGGCACACCACCACCACTGCAGCTGGGAGGAAGAAGGTGGGGTAGCTGAGTTTGAAAAGGGCTGGCAAATAGGGAAGTCTTGCCTGGTCACGTTTATTTTCTCTGCAAATCGAGACTTGGAGTCATCACGCAGAGAGCCAAGAAGAGAGACGGCTTGTCCAGCCTCTCTCCTGTTGCTGTTTGTGTCCATTATGATAGAACAGGCAGGCACCTATGCACAGACCCCTGAGATGGTTCAAAGAAAAGCTGTGCCTTCGGAGTCCAGAGTTTCAAGCCTAGCTCTGGGCTCAGCTGCTTTTACAACCTTGAGCAAGTCAAGAGATCTCAGTTTCCTTATCTGTTAAGTGATGGCAACAGTGCCCAGCCTGCCTGCCTGCTCACAATCCTGTTTGGACCCCATGGGGAGCTGTAAATACCCTGCGTAAGCGTCGCAGCTGGGCAAATGTGAGTGGGCATTCTTGTGGGAGGGACAGAGTCGCCGAGTCAGTGCTGAGCCTCCAAGGGCAGGCAGAAAAGGGCTGAGAGGGAGATAGGAAGGACGTGAGATGGGGTGTGGCCGAGACGAACCCCACGCAGACCGCCCAGCGCCCAGCCACTCCACAGGGCTCTGCCCATCTCTGACCCAGCATCAGAACTCCTCTGCTGTCGGGGTGAGGGTGACAGGGAAGAGGGGAGCCGCTTCTGAACAAGCAGGGCTCCCATGGCCAGTGGGAGGGAGCAACTGGCCCAGCTGTCCACAGCCGCTGGGAGTCAGCCTCTGTTCTGTCTTAAGATCACTATCACGGAGCCTTGGCCTCGTCCTCTGCGCTTGGCCTTAGAAGCTCTCCTGGGACCTCTCCCCAAGCCCAGGACACCTCTCTGTGTTCCTGGCTCAGCCCAGTCAACAGTGTGAGTTTCTCTCCCAGCCTCTGGCCTAGCAAAGCCGGCCTCTCCGGTGTGTGGCTGTGTGCGCGCACACACACACACACACACAAACAAGCACCACATACTATACACCACATGTACAATACACAGCACACACAGCAAGCACACCACACACATCACACACCACACACACAGAAGCAGCACATACTACACACCACATGTGCAACACACAGCACACACAGCAAACTCACCACACACAAATATATCACACACTACACACACACACACCATGTGAACACACAAAGAACATACCACACATAGCATACATCAAACACATGCAAACACACCACACACAGACATCTCCCACAAACTCCACAACACACACCAGGATACACGCTCCCTACACATACACACCACACACACATGCACACTCCCTTCTTCCTAACTGGACCCTCTGTGTCTCCTATCACACCCCTCCATTCGATCCTCTACACAACTGCTTCAGTGATTTTGTTAAAACGCAAACTACGCCATTTCCTTGTTTAAACTCCACTCCCTCTTTCAGCGGCTCTCCAGAAAATTCAGGCTAAAATCCTAGCTCCTTCCCAGAGACGGTGGCCCTCCAGTCTGTTCCCCGATGGCCCGTGCAACATCCCCCGTCAGCGAGCCTGTGCCACCTGCCCTTTCCCCCACTGTGGGTTCCTCGCGCATCTCTGGAGGATGGCCCCACAACCTCATCCATCTGAAACGTGTTCATCCTTCCAAACCCAGTTCAGAGCTCACCTCTTCTGTAAAGCTTTCTCGACCACCCAAGCGGAATCGCTCCCTACCTCTCTGCAGCTTGCGTGGTGTGTGGTGGAATGATTTGCTTCCCGTGTCTGTCTCCCCTGCCAGCAGGTGACCTTCTGAAGGGAATTCGTATCTATAGACAAAGCACTTGTTCCTGGCACGGGGTGGGCTCAGTGAATGCGGGGTGGGTGGCACTCATCCGCCTCGTCCTCCCACACAGATCAAAGTGGAAAACCAGCTTGACTTCCAGGACATCACCAGCGTGGTCGCCATGGCCAAAACCTACGCCACCACCGAGGCCTTCATCGACTCCAAGTACGACATCCGCGTCCAGAAGATTGGATCCAACTACAAGGCTTACATGTGAGTCTCTGGGGCAGGGGCTGGGGGAACGTGGGAGGAAGGGAGCCCAGAGGTGCACGTCCAGCCACTGTCTCCTGCACCCAAGGGCGCATCATTATCCTCCATCCTTATCTCCTTACTGCCTTTCTTCTCTGGCCAGTGGACCGAGGGGCTGATACTCAGTCACTGCTTATCCCCAGGCAGATATTTGCCTACCCAAGCAAGGGCTGTTTCCTCCAGAGCAAGAAAGGTGCTTGGCACATCTAGGGAACTGCATGTACACACAGGATATATGTCTTTGAGAAATTTGGGGACAAATCAAGGAGGGCTTTGAATACCTTGCTGAGGGTTTTGGATTTTTTTCCTCTTCTCTTCTGAGCAAAGGATCTGTGTTTATTAAAAGGTGACCATGAGGCTGCAAGCTGCCAAACGGTTTCTCTGAAGCCAATAAGACCAATTAGGAGGTTACACCAGATTTCTCTGCCTGCAAGCAACAGAAACCACACATCATTATCTTAATGGGTTTTCTAAAGGGAATGTATTAGAAAACCATGGGTTATCAGAAACTTAAAAGAAGCAAACAAAAAAATCTCCCAACTCAATTATCAGTTTCAGAAGCATTAGGGTACAGAGCAGCCCAGGAATGTGGGCAGCCAGAAATAATAATAAACAATTTTCACGGCATCCCCACCGGTAAATGAACCTGCCCTAGTCATTTTCAGGGCTTAACTCAAGATTGCGATTCCATGGGAAACGTACTGATTAGTCCAACTTTGACTGTGTTTTATTGATTAGAGAAAAGCAGTGTGGAGAGCCCCACCACGAAGGCGTGCAGTGTGGGCAGGGCCATTGCCTAGCGGAAATAGAGGTGCTGAATCGAAAGGAAAAGGAAAGAATGCCAGGCAGAAAAAAGCAGCCCGCCTTCACCTGGGTGGTTCAACAAAGGATGGATTACATGGGGCTGTGGTTATCAGGATGAATGGGGACTTCCGGAGTAGGTGGACTGTCTCGTCCTTGGGAGAGGTCTTCGCTCCAAGCCCTCTCTGTGTTTCACTCTGGAATGTTATTGTTCCACTTGAAATGATGGGACCCCAGAGGGCCAATCGTTGCCTGGTTGACAAGCATTTATGGGGCACTGACTGTGTGCAGGGCTCCATATGTGAGGACTGCAAGGGTTAGCCCTGGACAGCCGGAAAACCCCTCCATCCATAGGCTTCTGTGTGGGTAGCTTGTGCTTTAAGCTAGGGGTTGGCAAACCACAAGCACAGGCCAAATCCAGCTGCCACCTGTCTCTAAATACAGTCCTGTTGATCACAACCTTGCACACCCATTTACGGATTGCCTGTGGTTGCTTTGGCACTACCTGGATTGCCCAGACCAAGGGTCAGCAAACTGTTTCTGTAGAGGACCAGGTGGTAATTTTAGGCTTGACGGGCCGTATCGTCTCTGTCGCAACTACTGTGCCCTGTCATTGTTTGTGAAACTAGAGGAGGTGCAGGCAGTTGCCCTAGAAGGAAGTATTCCCAGGAAAGGGATGGAGCTCATTTTCAAGGAGTAACTCTACCCTATTCCACCAATCAACCTCTTCCTCCCACGAGGCAGGCCAGACCTGCCCCTGCTCTCAGATGGCCTTGGGGTGATAAAGTCGCCTCCTCCCTGCCCACCGTGAGTTATGGCCCATTCCAGTGCATTCCTGAGGCCCCTGCCATAGGCCATGATATCATTTCCCTCCTCTCTTCATTGTTTCAGCTTCCACTTGACATTGACGACACCTTGTCCCAGTTTTTTTTTTGTTTTTTTTGTTGTTGTTGTTCTTGAGGATTACCTCATTGCCGCATTTTTTCTGCGGAGCCTCCCTGGCCTGACAGCTCCACTTTGTCATGACTTACGGAGTTTCCTGGACCTTGGCCTGGCCCACCTCCAAAGGAGGGGGTTCATGTCAGATTTCAGTGTAGAATTTCCCCAGCCGCTCAAACTCCTCTGGCCCCACTCCCTGCCTTGTACTCGGGCCTTTGTGCTTGTCGCTGCCAGGCTGTCATTCTTTCTAGGTCCTAGCAGACACAATAAGGAAGTACATGAGTGTATCCTTACCCATGTATTCATATATATCCATAATTATTTCCGCATATCCCCATCCACATCCCTATGAGGCTGAACAGAATCCTATGGATATCCCGGACTTTCATCTGGTACCACTTGGTTCGTTTTAGCCTTACCTGGTTGCTAATCTATAACTTCCCACTCCAACAGAGAAAAATCCGGCTCCCCCACTCACCATCTATCCACTTTTTTGGTTCCGTCTCAGTGGATGCGCCCAGTCCCAGAACTGTTCACCTGTAGCCTCATGGGAAATAACCTTGCCAATTACGGTGCAGTGCCTTATGGCTCCTGGTGGTCATCTATTCTCAGCATTTTTACATTTGATTTTCTCTTCTTTTTTTTTTTTTTTTTTTTTTTTTTGAGACGGAGTCTTGCTCTGTCGCCCAGGCTGGAGTGCAGTGGCGCAATCTCGGCTCACTGCAAGCTCCGCCTTCTGGGCTCACGCCATTCTCCTGCCTCAGCCTCCCAAGTAGCTGGGACTACAGGCGCCCGCCACTGCGCCCGGCTAATTTTTTTCTATTTTTTAGTAGAGACGGGGTTTCACCATGGTCTCGATCTCCTGACCTTGTGATCCGCCCGCCTCGGCCTCCCAAAGTGCTGGGATTACAGGCGTGAGCCACCGCGCCCGGCCTTTGATTTTCTCTTCTACAATGATACAGTTTTGTGTCAATTCCTCTCCCCAGTTCACCCTTTGATCTCAACCACATACCTTCCGTTGACCATAAGACAAATAGCTTTACCTACACCCCTGTGCTTAAACTTGTTCAGTCTTTGCCAAGGCCAGATGCACCGTTAGTGATAGGTAGCTTGTCTGGATTCTCCCCCAGTGTACACAGTTCCTCACCCAGTAGGTACCTACTGGGCACCTACTGCCTGCCAGGTCCCACTGGATACTGGATATTCAGGGGATGAAGTTAAACATGTCCCCTACCCTCAGGGTTCCCCTCCAGCGGAGAAGAGAGGACACTAACGCAGTCATCAGAAGGGAGATGAGGATTCCTGAGCATTCGTGTAGAGTGTAGCACCGGGCAGTCTATTTTTGCTGGGCAAGGTGGGCTGTCAGGAAGTCGTATGTCAGATGAAACCTGAAGGATGAGCAGGACTTAGGGAGGCGAAGATGGAGACAAAGACTCTACGGAGTAAAGGGAAGAAGGCATGCAGAGGCTGTGACACTGGGAAAGAGCCATGGGCAGCAGAGCACCGGAAGAGAGGTCGGTTGTTACTGGAGCAGAAGAGGCAAGGAAACAGAGAAGGATGGCAACATAGTCAGAGACCAGAAGGCCTTCCTAATCTTTACCAGAAAAAAGTAGTCACTTCTCTCTAAGGATCACTTTTCTAACATTTTGGGGCCCTCAAAAGATTCCAGACTCATCAGGGGCTACACACACTGCCCTCATTCTCCTCAAAAACACACCAAAGTTTGGGGGATTTCATCAGATGATGTAGGCATTTTTGAATTTAACCTTTCAATTTCAAAGATGACTTAGAAAACAATACCTAAGATCCAACAAATAAAAAAGGCAAACAGCATGAAGGGAAATAAACATAGGAAAATGTAGTTGATAAGGTGTGTACCTAAGAATACATGCCATTACGTGAGCCAGTTATTTGAATCAGAGCCTCCTGACAGCCAAAGCAAAGAAGGAAAGCAGATCAGTGACGAGCGTCCCTAATTCCCTCAATGTGTTATTTGTTCTGGTACAGGAGAACCTCCATCTCTGGGAACTGGAAGGCCAACACAGGCTCTGCCATGCTGGAGCAGGTGGCCATGACAGAGAGGTAAGAGACAAAGGAGGTGTAGGGAGAGGTGCTGGCCATGGTAGGAGCTGAAGGGGGAATGCAACAAACAGCCCTGAAAAGAAGGCCACTCTGCCCTCCATCCAGTGCCTCACCATCCACAGAGCACTTTTCTAGGTATGATCATCTTCACTGCCCACAACAGCCTACAGGGCAGGCATTAAAATAACCCCATTTTACAGATGGGAGAAGAAAGCTCAGAGAGGAGAAGTGATTTGTCTAGGACCACAGAGCTAATTAATGACACAGCTGAGAGTAGAACCCTGCTGTCATGACTCCAAGTCCAGGGTCTTTCCAGCCCTGACCAGCTGCTGTAGGAAGAGGTCAGGAAGCCCTGGCCAAGCCCTCCTGTGCACTGACAGCTGCAAGGAAGTGTTATTAGGCGACTAGGCATATTGGAGAGTCCACTTCTCGCTCAAGCTTCTTTCCATCTCAGTATGAAGAGGGAGAGGTTGATGTCCCCTGAATCGTGCATATTTTAGGGATGCTTTCTGGCTGAAGGTTTTTTCGGTCTTTCTCCCTTTAGACACTTTGTGCCAGCCCCGCTTAAGGAAAGGCCGGCCGGGCGCGGTGGCTCACACCTGTAATCCCAGCATTTTGGGAGGGCGAGGCAGGCAGATCACCTGAGGTCAGGAGTTCAAGACCAGCCTGGCCAACATGGTGAAACCCCATCTCTACTAAAAATACAAAATTAGCCGAGCGTGGTGGCGCACACCTGTAATCCCAGCTACTTGGGAGGCTGAGGCAGGAGAATCACTGGAACCCGGGAGGCAGAGGTTGCAGTAAGCTGAGATCATGATCATGCCATTGAACTCCAGCCTGGGCAAGAAGAGTAAAACTCTGTCTCAAAAATAAAAAATAAAAAAAAAAGGAAGGGCCGAAGGGCCGAGTCAGCTGGTCTCAGGGCCTGCCACATACATACCTTCTTGCCTGCATGCCCTGTGACCTCTGCCAGCAGCCACACAATAGCAGTGGACAGAGCATGGGCTGTGAGCTCAAAAGGCTCTGTTCAATAAACACTTACTGAGTATCTACTGCAGGCCATGTTCTGCTGAGCACTAAAGGATGAAAAATCCAATCCTTCCCTCTAAGAACTCTGTATCAGTTGCAAGGGCTACCACACAAATCAAATTGGTTTGCACAAAAAGGGGGATTTACTGGCCCGTGTCACTGACGACTCCAGATATACAGTGTCAGGTAAGGCCTTGAGGCTCCTTCTCTGCCCACCCTAGTTCAGCTTCTTTCTGTGTTGGCTTCATCCAGGAGGCTCTTTCATTTTATGGTGGCAGACGGTGGCTCCAGGCTTTCATCCTCACAGTGCGTTCAAAAGAAAGAAAATTTCTCTTTCCCAATCATTTCAACCAAAGTCTGAAATTGATTCATATGCACTGGTTGCCCTGGCTTAGGTCACGTGACCGTCCCTGAACCAATCACTATGGCCCAAGACCCTGCAATGCTGTGATTGGGGGCCTATGTCAGGTCTACACCCCTGGAGACTGGAGTGGGACCACCCCCTACAGCAATAGAAACTGAGTGTGACCTTGGGCATGTTCAGGAACATTTCTGAGCTTCTTCAACTGCAAAATGAAAGCAGTAATACCCAAGTCAGAGTGCAGGTGTGAGGACTGAATGAGAGAGGGCTGTGAAGCACCTAATCCAGAACCAGCCCCTGGCAGGGAGGCGCACCTGCCCTTCCCATCAACCCCAGGGGGCAGCTGCCACCTTCAACCTGGAAACCCACCTGTGCTAATAAGTCTCCTGGAGGCTGCGCTCGTGACCTGGCACAACTGAATCATGTGGCTGAGGCAGTCACCTCCTTCCCCCAACAGGTGTTCACGGGACAGTCGTGGTCGTCTTCTCTATGGCCCTTCCCGAACGTGAGCCCAGCCTTCCCCAGTGCCTCCTGAGCCACTCACAGATGTCCCCAGCACGCCACCTATCCCTGGCTCTGCCAAGTCCCAGGTTGCATGGGCCATCCCTGGAGGAACCTGCCATGGGAGTGGGCCTGCCCAGGCCTGGAATCCACTTTCCCTTTTCCAGTCACAGGCGGTACTCCAGGGTCTGGGCTGGAGAGATTCCCCAGTCCTATCTCCACAGGAACAAAATCCATACAGGGACTCATACGCAGGGCCTGACCCCGCCCTCCACCTGGCTTGCCTGCTTGCCAGGTGGCCTGACTCCTGGGCAAAACCAGTGATGTCACTCAGTTGGTGCTAGTCCCACCTGGCAGGAGGAGAGCAGGGCCCCCCATTCTCCATGCACTCTCATGCTGCTGTACGCCTGTAGCCCCTTCCTAGACCCTGGGATGCCTGTGTACTACGGGGTGCAGCCAGCAGGGGACCCCAAGGTTCATCCTTTCAAAACAGCCTCTGGAAACAGCTGCCTCTGGACCTCGGCTCAAATTTCCACGTTCCATTGAGAAGATACCTGATTTATGAGTGTGTCTCAGGGCACAGCTCACCCTAAGTGTGTGGCGCCCACAAGTCAGCCACTGGGGCCGAAAATGACACTGATCAGAGATTCCAGAGGACTCTTCAAGCTCCAAGGACCCAAGGTTGTCCCCAAACGTGGCCACGTAGCAGAATCACATGGAAAGCTTTCAAAAATTACAGAAATTACTCTAACATAGGGCGGAGCCCCAAGTCTGGCTGTTTATGCATTTAACTCTCCTGGTGATTCTGAGGTACAACCAGAAGCAGATCTAGGCTTTCCCATTTTATGATAAGAGGGAGAGGCTTCGCCGAGAGTATTAAGGAATTAACAGCAAGAATGTAGGTCCCTGGTCTCCCATGCTGAGTGAGAATGGATGTTCTGGGGCACCTTCCGAATGAGAGGAAGGGTGGCTCGCTTGGAATCTGGAATCAGACAGGATCTAGGTTTGGAAGCTGCACAGTCACTTAATCATCTCTCTGAGCCTTTTCCTCCATTAGTAAGACGGGTTAAAATCTTCCTCATAGAGTTGTGCTGGGATCCGAGGGGATGAGGAGTCAGCCCCCAGGCCCAGAATGTCTGGAACATAGCAGGAGCTCCATGGGTGTGGCTTTCCATCCTTCCTTTTACTTTGATGATATCACGTGCTCCATGCTACAGCTGAATGAGAAAACTGGACTGAGAGTCAAGGAGATCGAGGTGATCCTGGTGTTCTTACTGCCTTACTGTGTGAGCTGGACCAGCCAGCCTCCCTCTCTGGGCCTCAGTAGGCTTTGGTGGATGAGATGAGAATCCATTCTAAGAGCATTCCAGTCTCAGTCCCTCCTCATGCCAGCACTTATGGCTCAGACGCGCAAAGCGATGTGAGAGTAGGCATGCCCTGCGTGACCCTGGAGAGTGAGAAGCAAGAACATTGACACAGAGTCCCCTGTGACTCCCAAATCCAGCCCACAGGGGAAGCTAAGTGCAAGCCAGGACGGTTTCTTCACATACAACCACCTCCTTGTTGCAGGGTCAAAGTCCAGCACTGAGATCTGTCCCCAGCAAAGCAAACTGGCCTTGCAGACATCAAGTGGCTGGAAGGGGAACAAAAGCAGTGGGTCTAGAGGGCCAGGCCCCCTGGGCGAGGCAGAAGCAGCCTGCCAGTCTCCCCAGCCCACCCGCCCCGGGCCCGGGAAAAATGCACCCTTTGTCCTCCACAGCCTCTTGTCCGGCCAGGGCTGGGACTGGAAGGGCGGCCTGGAGGGATTTCTGGAGCCCTTGGAGCAGCTTTCCCAAGGGAAAAGGGACACAGGGGTAGCTGGGTGTCCAGGATGACTCCGGATGGGGGCAGGGCAGGCTCCCCATTACTGCAGAGCCAGCAAGTCCTGGGGTTGGGGGAGACTTGTCCCAACTCTGGTTCCTTCTCTCCCCCACCCTGCCTCTCTCCCCTCCTTCCTGGCTCTCTCGTGTCCTTTCTCTGGGTCTCTCACTGTCATTTGTGTCCCTGCCTCTCTCCCTGCCTCTCTGTCTCTGCGTCTTGGACTCTTGACGCTCTCCATCTTTCTGTCTCTCTTGCTGCTTCTCTGTCCCTCTCCATCTCTGTCTGGATGTGTGTATCATTGTCTCTCCCTGTCTGTTTTTCTGTGTGAATCCACTTCTCTCCTCCACCCTCTTCCCCACTTTCCCAGGCCACTTCACTGTCTGTCCATCTGTCCCTGCAGGTACAGGCTTTGGGTGGACAGCTGCTCGGAAATGTTTGGCGGCCTGGACATCTGTGCCGTCAAGGCCGTCCACAGCAAGGATGGCAGAGATTACATCATCGAGGTGAGGGATGAAGCAGGCAGTCCTCCTGGCTGGTCCAGCCTGGCAGGCGTGCCAGGGGGAGGGAATCCCTGCATGATCTTTGGCACCATCAGCTGTGTCCTGGCTCCAGGGCACACGCAGCCCAGGCCTCAGTGAGCTGCTTCTGGAGCTCCTTCCTACCCTCAGAGGCATCGAAAGTCTTCATGCCTGGGCACTCGGAACTCAGTCGAGAGACCTCAGGGCACGAGGTTTAACAACCTCCCTGACCCACAGGCCTAAGGAAAGGGAAAGGGCATCTGGCCAAGGGTCAGCAAGCTACTGTCCCATAGGGCCCCTGCCATTTCCTCAGTGTCCAAGCATGTAAACTGGGCACCCTTCCTTGGTCACCATACAGACAGTCCCTCATTTGTTCATTCAACAAACATGGCCTTAGGGGGCTCCCATGGGCTAAGCATGGGTGTGGCTCTGGGGATACAGCCATGGACTTGCTAGACACGGGTGTGCAGGCTGGCAGGGGAGAGGGTGAGAAACAGTGGCAGAGCACTGAGGATTTGGAAGGGGGATGGAATGGTACAGGGGCATGAATAGAGGGGAAGATGGAGGGAAGCAGAATGGTAAGAGGGGGTTCACAGAGGGCTGTGGGTTCCGGAATCTCTCTCCAGACCCTCCAGCAGCCCGTGCCTCTCCCCATCCTACAGCCCTCCCAGCCCCGCCACTTCCTCCCCATGCTTACCACATCCCACCACCCCCCACCTCTCCTCCATGTCTTCCCGGTGTCTCTCATGGTCCCACAGCCCTCCCGTCCCCTCCCCAACTCCTCTTCCCTGCCCCCCACCCCATGTCCCGTGGCTCTCCACTGCTTTCCCCTGAAAAGGCCTCTCTGGCCTCAGAGTCCTCCATAACTTCCCATCTCCACACTCACAGCTCCAGGGCCGCATTCAGCTCCCTCTTTCCACAGGCGGTGCTGACACAAGGCCAGGACACGTGAGGGACAGCCCTGCGGCTATCCCCTCCCCGGGGTGTGGGCGGCTAATGGGAAGCACATGGCGGGGGTGACCACAGGAACCAGCCGGCCCTCCCGCCCCTCATGTCTGCCTCACTCCCCAGGAGCCCACGGCCGAGCAGGACCAGGTGACTCAGTGGGTGGGAGCCCAGTCATGCCAGGAGGGTGTTCACGCCCAGGACTTGGAGGTAGGAGGAGGGAGTCCAGGATGAACATGGCCCCTCTCTCCTCCCCAAAGAGGCCAGGAAGCTGCAGCAGGAAGAGCTGTGTCTGTATTGGCAGACCCAGTCCCACTCTGAGAACAGCTCTCCTTTTAAACACCTTCCCTCTGGCTGCCACCAAACCTGAAATTCCCCAAGTAGCCCCTACTTGGAGGAGCCGTGGAAGAGGCTGGGAACAGATGCCTTGACCTGTACAGTTGCTCCCTGGAGGAGCTCATCCTCCACCTTCCTGGGAGCTTCAGCCCAGAGGTGGGGCAAGAACCCCCAGCACGGCAGCTCCTCAGACCCCACCAGGTCCTCCTGTCTCTGTCTCCTCATGGGGACCACCAGACATGAACCCAGATTTGGCACACAAGCACTCATTTATGTATTCACTGAGCCGCTGCTCTGGGAGCCAGCCCCCAAGCCAGGTGGACACAGTGCAACTGCAAACACGAGAACAGGGGCCCTGTCTCCTAGAGCCCCTGGACTCCCCTGACCCCCAAAGGCCAGCTCCTCCCTTGCACCAGCAGTCTCTCTGTCCCCCGTGAGCCCCTGCCTCTCTGGGTCTCAGCTTTCACTCTTAGGGAAAAAAAAAAAAAGAATCCGTGCTCGTGGGCCCAGGCTTCCTGCCTTCAGCCATTCAGAGGGTTGGGGATGAAAGGCCTTTCACATAGAGAAAAAAAAAAAAAAAAAGTAAAAGTAGTGGGCTTGGACTTCAAAAAAACAAGAAAACAATGTCTCCCAAGAATGTTCCAGAGGGAAAATGAAAGATAGCTTTTCAGATTTTTTTTTCCTCGCAGAAACATTCCAGAGTTGTTTCCTGTGCTTTTGAGTTTGGAGTGGGGTCAGGGGAGATGGGAAACTTGTTACCAAAAATGTAAAAGGTGTTTTCCCCGAGTAAGGGGAAAAAAAAGGCAGAAGAGGTCCCAAAACACTGGTTTCTTCAGCCACCTCTACGGTGAGAACTGAATATGTGTGTGAAATGTGTTGTGAAGAGGCTCACAGTCAAATACTCGGGGAAAAAGACCCTTGAATTTGTCCTCTGTGACCTTGTCCGGGGAATGACATTGCCCACTGGAAAATGTTTCCCTGGGGAGACCAGAGCGGCCACTTCCTTTGGCTGTGTCTACCGTGGGGATTCCAAAATGAACCTCAGGTTCCTTGTGGTGGCTGTTTTCCACTGCAGGCAATATAGGAAACAGAGACCAGAATAAAATGGGGTGGGCAGGGGCAGGGGGAGAGAGGACAGGCAGGGTGCAGGACGCCTGTGTACCTTCGGGGCAGACTCCACAGTCAGAGCTCAGCCAGTGGTGACTGAGTGACTGTCCCTGCCCGGAGCACTGGGATCCAGGAGACCTCAGGTCCAGGTACAACTTGCGCAGAGCTCAGGACCCTGCTGGAAGCAGTATTCACATTCTTAAGCTAGCTTTTCAGTTTCCTAATCAAAGTGGGTGCTAAACTCACAGATCCCTACAAGTCCCAGCTGGAAGGGTCTTAGCAGCTGCCCAGATCCCTCAGTTCACTGTTGAGAAAAACAAAAAAAAAGCCCATAGAGGAAAAGAAACTTTGACCAAGATCACAGAGCATGTCCACAGCAGAAGCCAAGCTTGGAACCCACGTTCCCTCTTCCCAGTTCCTACCCTGTTTGCTGTTCCAATGCTTGCTGGGAATTAGCCTGATGCAGTGGGAGGACCATGGGTTGCCAGTGCTGTGTCCTTGACCTTGCCACTTCTTTGACCCTCTGCTTCCTCATCATTACAATGAGGATAATAGTACCTGCCTCAAAAGCTATTCTGAGGTTTATGAGAGATCCTCCACACCCGATGCTTAGAATAGTGCATAGCACATACGAAGTGCCCGATAAATTACGGCGCTTCTCATTATCCTTATCCTTATGAGCTGGGCTTATCCCAAGGGCCTCTTACTCCTCCACTAAACAGGTGTCTGTGGAGGGCACACCTGTTTAGCAGGACACAGGGTCCATCCCTAACCTTGGGGGCTCCCAGTCTGGTGGTGGAGACATAGTGAGCAGGGGGTGACAGTGCTGTGGATAAGCTGTCCAGTGTGAAACCAGGTGAGGACAGCAGGATACAGATGTGAGGTGGCTCATCAGAGCTTGCACCATCAAAGAGGGCTTCCTCGAGGAAGACCTAGTTAGCGGTTCCCTGTTGGATGAAATGAAGTTGGCCAGGTAAGGAGTGGGTAGAGGGAATACTTAAGAACCTGGAGGAGAGAGAAAACCTAAGGAGTCCAGACCGTGGGAACAGGGGCGACAAGACGGTGAGTCTGATGGGGTGGTGTGGGTGAATGCAGGCCGCCGACCCCTGCAGTGGAATAGAGAGGGTGACAAGGCCTGACGGACACCCCTTCCAGACCTCCCATAGCTTCCCATGCCCAGAGAATCACGTGGAGCATTGGCCTCTGTGACCTTGGGCAAGTCCCCTCCCATCTCTGGGCCTCAGTTGCTCTATTTGTAAAAAGAGCAGAAGGGGAAACTAGGATCCCTCAGGATCCTCCCCATAGAAGCACTTTGAGAACAGCCCAGCTCCCTGTGGAACACGTTTCCCTCCCACCCCTGTTTTGCCAGGGCCCCGGAAAACAGATCTTTCCTCTTCCCTCTTTCCTCTGAACCCTGGGTCAATGCCAGCCCGTGTCATATTTTTGTCATGATCAAGCCCCTCACCTTTACTGTTTCTACTTTGCGGAAAGCCTTGAGCTGGGGCCAAAGGAGAGGTCAGCCCCGACCCTGGGAGGGGGCCAGGGTGAGAAAGGAGGGCACGGAGAGCAGCTCCCCAAAGAAAAGCACAGAAAAGGTCGGCAGAGGCTCCCTGGCCCTTATCGCATTGCTGTCATCCAGCAAACGTGGGCCGAATTGAACTACATCCAGGGAGTGGTTGAGACTGAACCGAAGCGAGCTGGTGTCGCTGCCGGCCAGTCCCAGCTAGAGGTGGTTTGCATGGAGGACATCGCCATCTGGTGGTCACTTCTGTCCTGAGCCCTGAGCCCCCACTTCTGGGTGTGATGCCCAACGGCCAGTGTCTCCTGGCATGGGGGTCCCTCAGCTCTCCCGTCCTCCCCACAGGTAATGGACAGCTCAATGCCGCTAATTGGAGAGCATGTGGAAGAGGACAAACAGCTGATGGCCGACCTTGTTGTCTCCAAAATGAGCCAACTCCTGATGCCAGGAGGCACAGCGCCCTCGCCCCTGAGACCCTGGGTAAGACCCTCATGATCAAAGGAGACTTTATAGCCATCAGAAATGCCAGGCTGTCTGGAAATGGGGAGCCCCTGGATCTAAAGGAGATACCCCCAGGAAGAAACCACCGTGGGGAGAAGGAATGGGGGTGTGGGTGAAGGCCAGACATCAGGGAGAGCTTCCACAGCCTGCCCCAGTGGGTGAATTTAGGAGGCTTTCGGGGGCCCCCTCCCTTCTTCACCATCCTGGGGAGAACAATCTTGTCTCAATTGGCCTTTGGGCACTGTGGGGAGAGATGATTGACTGCTGTCCCTTCTGTGCCCTCGGTGCTGGGCCTGAGCAGGATGTGTGTGCGTGCGTGCGCGACAGCATATGGACACACAAGCCCTCTGTGTGCTCCCAGGGAACCGGTCAATGGACGCTATTGTGTCTACCATTTCCCCCAACCTCGATGAGCTCTCAAGTCGCTCCTCCCCTCCACAGTTCCCACCATGGATGACCAGACTGCTGTCCAGAGAATTTGCCAGCTCCTCAGCTTTATGTAAAAGCAAGTCCCCAAACTTCCACCTCCCACCCCAGATTTCCCCATGGAAAGTAATCTATGATAACAGACATCAGAATCATAGTTATTATACTGGGGGGCTGCTGTCTGGGAAGGGTCATGAGGCAGGCTTCATCGTGGGAAATGGCCTGTGTTTTGATCTGGACAGCGGTTACACCGATGTGTACACATACAGAACTTCACTACACGGTACACTCCAGAACTGTACACTTTATGTGTACGAGTCTCTTCTCAATGATAAAAAGATCTTCATAAATGTTGCCCTCTCACCCAGGAAGTAAAGGGCTGTGGTGATACCAACAGGCTTCTTTTCTCTTCTGCTCTAGGCGCCACAGATTAAATCAGCGAAATCCCCAGGGCAAGCCCAGCTGGGGCCTCAGCTAGGACAGCCCCAGCCACGCCCACCTCCGCAAGGTAGGACCCCGGACGCGCCACTGTGAGAAAGCATGCAGTGAGGGTGCTGAATGCACTGAGGATCCACACGTGATTCCCACAAGGGGCTCGGGGAAAATGCATCTGAATACTTTATCCACAGAATGAATCAGACTATGAGGTTGGTCAACCTCTTTAAAAAATCTAGAAAGGAGAAGGGAAATAGACGGTTAATTTATTAAGAACCTAATATGCACCAAGCACTGTGCCAGGGAATGTCCCACCTATTTTCCCAGCCATCACTGGGAAAATAAACGTCAGTGTTTCCTTTTTTTTTTTTTTTTTTTTACTTTTGAGACAGAGTCTTGCTCTGTCACCCAGGCCAGAGTGCAGTGGCGCGATCTCGGCTCACTGCAACCTCCACCTCCCAGGTTCAAGTGATTCTCGTGCCTCAGCCTCCTAAGTAGCTGGACTTACAGGTGCACACCACCACGCCTGGCTAATTTTTGTATTATTAGTAGAGATCAGGCTTCACCATGTTGGCCAGACTGGTCTCGAATTCCTGACCTCAGGTGATCTGCCCACCTTGGCCTCCCAAAGTGCTGGGATTAGAGGCGTGAGCCTTTTTACAGCGAGATAAATGTTGAGGCTTTGCCCAAGGAGGTAGAAAATAGTAGATTTACAAGTCTGGCCTTTCAGACCTTCTAGAAAGTGTTTATTCATAGCAATGTGTGGTGCCTGATGATAGATTTGTGAGTCAACCAGCTAGAGTAAGAAAGAAAGAAAAATGGAACATCATCTATAAAACCTTGGCCATTGAAATTCTTCCTCAAATATATTGCAGCATTACTGCCTTCCACCACTTATTAGAGAATGGACAAACTATTGATGAAAAGATGAAAAGCAATCATGGCAATAGCTAACTTTCTCAAAGAATGTCAGCTGCTCTGGTATTCTTGCATGCGGGTCTTGAGAGAAATCCGCCCCATATCCTCTCTTGCAATCAAAACCTCCTGAACACACTCGCTCGGGCACCAACAGGAGCTTCAGAGCACCTGTGCACCAAGAAACAAAAGCAGGCAGTTTCACTGCAGTCTTTTAAGGATCTTCTTAAAAACATATCAGAGGCTGGGCGCGGTGGCTCATGCCTAGAATCACAGCACTTTGGGAAGCTGAGGTGGGCGAATCACGAGGTTAGGAGTTTGAGACCAGCCTGGCCAATATGGTGAAACCTCATCTCTACTAAAAATACAAAAAAAAAAAAAAAAAAAAAAAAAAATCCGGGTGTGGCGGTGTGCACCTATAATCCCAGCTACTTGGGAGGCTGAGGCAGGAGAATCACTTGAACCCAGGAAGTGGAGGTTGTAGTGAGCCAAGGTTGCACCACTGCCCTCCAGCCTGGGCAATAGAGGGAGACTCTATCTCAAAAAAAAAAAAAAAAAAAAAAAAAATATATATATATATCAATATATCAGAAAGAAAGAAATATATATCACAAAGAAAGATATATATATATATCAGAAAGAAAGCATTACTGTCATGTTGTGGCCTTCCCAGTCACTATTATTAAAAGCAACAGATTCATTACTTCCTGAAAAAAAGTCAACCTTGGCCACCGAATGGCTTCCTCTTCCACAGGTCTTAGATAAAATGCCCCATTCATTTTTCTCGTCTGTGTTTCTCTTTCTGAAAAAGCAGAAGATATTTTTAAGAAAAGAGAAATTGTATAATTGTACACAACTGTGTACAGACATACCTCAGAGATATTGCAGGTTCAGTTCAAGACCACTCCAGTATAAAGTAAGTATCACAATAAAGTGAGTCACACAAATTTTTTAGTGCATATAAAAGCTATGTTTACACTATACTGTAGTCTCTTAAGTGTACAATAGCATTATCTCTGAAAAAAAACAAAGTACATACCTTAATTATAAAATACTTTATTACTAACAATCGTCTGAGCCCTAGGTGAATAGTAACGTTTTTCTGATGGAGAATCTTGCCTCAATACTGATGGCTGCTTACTGATCAGGGTACTGGTTGTTGAAGCAAGGGGTGACTGAGGCAATTTTGTAAAATAAGGCAACAGTGAAGTTAGCTGCATGAATTGAGTTGCCCTTTCACACAAGATTTCTCTTCAGTACGTGATGCTGTTTGATAGCATTTTACCCATAATAGAACTTCTTTCAAACTTGGAGTCAGTCCTCTCAAAACCTGCTGCTGCTTTATCAACTAAGTTTATGTCATATTCTAAATCCTTTGTTGTCTTTTCAACAATCATCATAGCATCTTTACCACGAATAGATTACATCTCAAGAAATCACTTTATTTGCTTATCCGTAAGAAGCAGCTCCTCATCCATTCAAGTTTTATCATGAGGCTGCAGCGATTCTGTCACGTCTTCAGGCTTCACTTCTCATTTTAGTTATCTTGCTGTTTCCAACACATCTTCTCTTTCTTCCTTCACTGAAATCTTGAACCCCTCAAAGTCATCCATAAGGATGGGAATCAACTTCCAAACTCCTGTTGATGTTGCTATTTTGATCTCCTCCTATGAATCCCAAATATTATTAATGGCATCTAGAAAGGTAAATCCTTTCCAGGTTTTCAATTTCCTTTGCCAAGATCCATCAGAGGAATCGCTGTCTATGGCCATTATAGCTTTATGAAATTTTGTTTTGTTTTGTTTTATTTTTTGAGACAGAGTCTCACTCTGTAGCCCAAGCTGGAGTTCAGTGGTGAAATCTCAGCTCACTGCAAGCTCCACCTCCCAGGTCCTGGTTCAAGCAGTTCTCTTGCCTCAGCCTCTCAAGTAGCTGGGATTACAGGCATGCACCACCATGCCCAGCTAGTTTTTGTATTTTTGGTAGAGATGGAGTTTCACCATGTTGGCCAGGCTGGTCTTGAACTCCTGACCTCGTGATCCACCTGCCTTGGCCTCCCAAAGTGCTGGGATTACAGGCAAACAGGCATGAGCCACTGCGTCCAGCTGAAATGTATTTTTAAAATAATAAGACCTCAAATTCTAAATTACTCCTTGATCCATGAACTGCAGAATGGATGTTGTATTAAAAGACATGAAAACAAAATTATCTTGTACATCTCCATTGTGTGGACAGATGTATTGTCAATGAGCAGTAATATTTTGAAAAGGATCTTTTTTCTGCACAGTAGGTCTCAACAGTAGGCTTAAAATATTCAGTAAACCATATTGTAAATACTATGCTGTTATCCAGGCTTTGTTTTTCCATCTACAGAGCACAGGCAGAGTAGATTTAGCATCCTTCTTAAGGGCCCTAGGATTTCCAGAACAGTTAATGAGCACTGGCTTCCACTTTAAGTCACCGGCTGCACTAGCCCCAACAAGAGAGTCAGCCGATCCTTTGAAGCTTTGAAGCCAGACATTGACTTCTCCTCTTTAGCTATGAAAGCCCTAAATAGTATCTTCTTCCAATAGAAGGCTGTTCCATCTGCACTGAAAATCTGCTTAGCACAGCCATCTTCATCAATGATCTAAACTAGATCTTCTTGATAACTTGCTGCAACTTCTTCATCAGCACTCGCAGCTTCACCTTGCAGCTTTTGTTATGGAGACAGCTTCTTTCCTTAGACCTCGCCAACCAACCTCGCCTAGCTTCCAACTTTTCTTCTTTAGTTTTCTCACCTCTCTCAGACTTCATAGGACTGAAAGTTGTTAGGGCCTTGCTCTGAATTAGGCTTTGGCTGAAGGCAATGTTGTGTCTGGTTTGCTCTTCTTTCCAGACCACTCAAATTTTTCCATACCAGCAATGAGGCTGTTTTGATTTCTTATCATTTGTGTGTTCACTGGAGTGGCACTTTTAATTTCCTTCAAGAACGTTTCCTTCACATTCACAACTTAGCTAACTTTTTGGTGCAAGAGGCTTAGTTTTCAGCTTGTCTTGGCTTTCAACATGCCCTCTTCACTAAGCTTAATCATTTCTAGTTTTTTATTTCAAAGTAAGAGATGAGTGACTTTCCCCTTCACTTGAATATTTAGAGGCCATTTTTGGGTTATTCATTGGTCAAAATTCAATATTGTTGTGTCTAGGGGAAAGGGAGGCCCAAGGACAGGAAGAGAGACAGGAAACGGCTGGTAAATGGGGCAGCCAGAACACACACATTTATCAAGTAAGTTCACTGTCTTTTTTTTTCTTTTGTTTTTTTTTTTTTTTGAGATGGAGTCTCACTCTTTTGCCCAGGCTGGAGTACAATTGTGCAATCTCGGCTCACTGCAACCTCTGCCTCCTGGGCTCAAGAGATTCTCCTACCTTAGCCTCCCAGGTAGCTGGGACTACAGGTGTGCACCACCACACCCAGCTAATTTTTTTGTATTTTTAGTAGAGACGGGGTTTCACCATGTTGGCCAGGACGGTCTCAATCTCCTGACCTCATGATCCATCTGCCTTGGCCTCCCAAACAGCTGGGATTACAGGCACGAGCCACCACGCCCAACCAGTTCACTGTCTTATATGGGTGTGGTTCATGGCACCCCAAAACAATTACGAATACAATCGTAGTATCAAAGATCACTGATTACAGATCACCATAACAGATATAATAATAATGTAAAAGTTTGAAATTTGTGACAATTGCCAAATGTGGTGCAGAGACACCAGGTGAGTACATGCTGTTGGAAGGATGGCACTGACAGACTTGCTCAATGCAAGGTCACCCCAACCCTCCAATTTAGAAAAAACACAGTATCTGCAAATTGAAATAAAATGGACCACAATAAAACAAGGTATGCCTGTATAAATACGCATAAGTATTCTCCTTCGGGCAGATAGATCTAGTGTGTTTGAATACAGTTCCATATCTCACTGTCCTTGCAGCGTTAGGCAAGTCACATTACTTCTCAGGGCCTCAGTTTCCTCAGTGTAAAGGAGGAAATAACAGCTTCCATGTAAATGCAGGTGAAGCAATTAGCAAAGTATCAGACACAGAGATAGTGCTTAGAAGGTGTTAGTTCTTACTACTAATAATTTACTATTAATAACTATGACATAATGCTTACTATTAATAATGTGTGTCTTATCCATATTGCTTTTCATGGTTATTATTAACAATTGTTATAACTAACGCAGTGCCCCCTTACCCAGCAATAATTCTGTAGTAATGTGTTCCAAAACTATATATTCCTTTCTCTACCAGGCTCCTGGCTGTGCCTCTGCCCCACACCCTCCTTTCCCCTCTGCCCTGGGACCTACTTTTTAAAAGCACATTTAAACAGAGCCATTTTAAAACAGAGAGCTACTGTATTCTGATTTCCTCTCTGGCCCAGAGTAAAACATGCTTGATAAAGAGATATTATTTTAAGGGAAATGAGGCTAAACACACTTTTAGTGAGTTGAAAAACAATCAATTTAAAACCAATTAAGGTAATTAAAGAAAATGCCCAGTGAATTAACGCTCAGATTAAAAAAAATAAGGCTAATTAAAAACAACGCTTTCATTGAGTTCCCCAATTAACAAATCACATTATTATTTTGAACTTGCTGTTCATTTCAACTCAGTAAAAGTGAAATTTTCTTTTAATAAGCTTCATTTCTGTGCTTAGGTAAATACTTTCTATATATAAGTCAATATTTTGTGTATGTATGTGCTCATATAAAAAATATTAAATTGTCTGCTTTGCCAAGAAGCTGAAAGAAATAACTAGGGCAGTGGTAATGGTTACCACTCTGGTCTCTGAATCCAGTAACTATGGTGTCTCTTGATAAATCCCAGGTGTATGATAGGGACTCAACAAAGAGTTACTGAATTAATGAACGGGTATCCAGATTTTCTAAGATATCAACCTGGGAAGGGGGGGCGAGTCAGGGAAAACTGAAGATAAAAGTAGAAAACAAATGTTTTCTTTGAACTGCGGTGGGTTTAGAAAACCTGAAAGTAACCAACATTTAAAAATCAGGAGGTGAGTTGGGTGCGGTGACTCATGCCTGTAATCCTAGCACTTTGGGAGGCTGAGGGGGGTGCGAATCACAAGGTCAGGAGTTCAAGACTAGTCTGGCCAACATGGTGAAACCCTGTCTCTACTAAAAATACAAAAAATTAGCTGGGCATGGTGACAGGCACCTGTAATCCCAGCTACTCAGGAGGCTGAGGCAGGAGAATCTCTTGAACCTGGGAGGCAGAGGTTGCAGTGAGCCGAGATCACACCACTGCACTCCAGCCCGGGTAATAGTGCGAGACTCCGTCTCAAAAAAAAAAAAAAAAAAAAAAAAAATTCAGGAGGTGTTACTTAAACATCTAGATTTCCAGCATCTCTTGATAGCACAGAAGCTCTAGAAACAATGGGCCTGCGTTTCTATACAGCAACACAGGTGTTACTAACAGCGGTTACTAACAGCGTTACTGGCGTTACTAATAGCGGCTCCCTTGATCAGAGCAAGGGCTCCTAGGGGCTCCTGTGTTTGCCTCCAGCCCTACTCCTCACTTCTGTGGTGACAATGAGGGGTAATTGCTATGTTCTGTATGCTTGCACCTCCTTAGAGAAATAGTTCTCTGGAATGTTTTTATCTCAAGTGGGAAAATTTTTGAAAGCCACATTACTTTTCATATATTTGCCTGCTTTATGTAGTTACGTACCTGGTTGGCCCTAGAGGTGTTTGAAATAAATGTGACCTCCCATCTACTGGGATATACAATCATGAAAGAGGTAATGAATCAAAGCCATGTAATACAATCAGATGCTACACTGGTACCACAGTTTAATCCAATTTAGTGTTCCGCAACCTCACAAAAATGTTCAGATCAGGAGGGATGTTTGATGTACAGTCCAATGGCCTTATTTTACAAACGAGGGTCCGGAAGCCCAGAGAAGGGGAGTGACTTACCCACGGTCACACAGCGAGTTAATGGCAAGGCTTAAGTCAGGACCTGAGGCTCCTGGTGCCAGTGTGGAGTCTGGACCACCAGACTCCACAGGTCATGGAGGTTACACAGGTGGCATGTCTTCTGAAAATGTGCTCAGCTGACATGGCATCTGATAGGGGAGGCTGGCTAAAATCTAGTCTTTGCCCCCTTGGCATCTGGCTCAGAGCTGCTTCCGCTGAAGGAAGCCGCCTTTTCTTAATTAGCAAAAAAGATGTTATGAGGACTCAGGGGAGCCTGCGTGGTGTAGTTTTCATAAAGGAAAAAGAAACAAGACAGGGCGTTTGAGTCAAAGAGATCTAGGTTTGACTCTTGACTTGTCCCCTTATTCATAGTGACATCTCAAGCAAGTCACAATATATCTGGGTCTCAGTTTCTCTGTAAAAATGGGGCAAAGCACAGTGGCTCACACCTGTAATCCCAGCACTTTGGGAGGCCAAGGTGGGAGAATTGCTTGAGGCCAGAAGTTCAAGACCAGCCTGGGCAACATAGTGATACCCTATTTCTACAAAAAAAAAAAATAAATAATAATAATAATAATAATAATAATAATAATGATGATGAAAAAGTGGTGTTGGGCCTGTAGTCCCAGCTACTCTAGAGACTAAGGCAGGAGGGTGGCCCAGGGGTTCACTGCTGCAGTGTGACCATGCCACTGCACTCCAGCCTGTGTGACAGAGACCCCATCTCTTCTATAAAAAATTATGTATATACATACATACCTATATATGCATACACACACACTATTAAAATTATGTTCACCTATTTCTTTTTACTTTTTAAAATGTGCCTACTAGAAAATGTATAATTATACACGTGGCTCTCTCTAGAGTTCCAGGGACAGCACTCCCATGGCTGGGGGTAGGGGATGAAAAATAATGCCTAACCCACAGAGCTGTTGTGAGGCTGCCCAGTCCTAAAGCTGGTGACAATAGGTGCTCAGTAGAAGCCCCATTGTTACAGAGTCACAGAGATGGGGTCCAGCACCTTTTAGTTTTCAGTCTCCTAACGTGCCCATAGTGCTCTCAAAAAAACGTGGCAAGAATCACCCCAGCCCAACCCTACTCTCCCAGCAGTAGCATGTCGCAGGGAGAAGAGATCAGCGGGCAGACAGTCGGCTTTGGCAAAATGCAATTCACCATCAACAGCCCTGACACCCAGAATTTGAGGGTGAGGAGAGTGCACCTTGATGGTTGGGGGCCTTGGAATTCTACTCAAAGTCATTTCTGAGTGGCTGCAACATCCCCAAGCTTAGATGCCCCTTGGCTTGCTTGTGAAAGCCTGTGTGCCCTGTGCGGTGACAGAGAGAAACCAAGATTCTCTTTGAGCTTTCTGTGGCTCCTCTTCCAATTGGGAAACCTTAATAAGACTCAGTCTCCACCTCTATGTGGTGAGAAAAATGGTATCTTCCCTACTGACCTTTCTAGATCGAGTGATATGTTGCTTTTAAAAGTTCTTGGAAAAGTTGAGAGAGCAACCCAAAAAGTAAGAGTTAATTCTTGTCATTGTTTCCAAAGAAATACATCTTCAGTGTGGAAAATACCCATGAGAAGAAAAAAAAAAAGGAAATTAAAATCCTTCATAATCTCACCACTTTAATGATTATTTAGCGTCTCATTACTCAAAGTAGGATAAGCTGGGAACCCGTTAGAAATGCAGAATCGCAGACCCCGCCTATATTAGTTTTCTCAGGCCACCTTAATAACAAAATGCCACAGACTGGGGGGCCTTAAACAACAGACATTTTTTCACAGTTCTGGAGGCTGCAGGTACAAGATCAAGGTGCTGGCAGGGTTGGTTTCTGGTACAGTTTCTCTCCTTGGCCTGCAGATGGCAGCCTTCTTTGTGTATCCTCGTGTGTCTGTTCCTCTGTGCCTACGTACATGACACTCCTGATACTTCTTTCTCCTCTTATAAGGACACTAGGCCTATCAGATTAGGGCCCCACCCTATCACCTCATTTGACTTTAATTACCTCTTTAAAGATCCTATCTCCAAATAGAATTGCATTGAGGGTTAGGGTTAAGGCTTCGACATACGAATTGGGACAGGGCAAACACAATTCAGTCTGTAACACAGCCCGAGACCCACTCTATCAGAATCTTTATTTTGACCAGATCCCCAGTGATTCATATGCACATTAAAGTCTGGGACACACTGGCTTTAGTGTACAATTTTCCAGTCCTTTTTATATATGTTTTTACGTATGTGCCAAAATAAAACCATATGTACTGTATTCTATTTTGTTCAGCAGTATAATATTTAGCATATGTTATCAACAGTATCCTATGTCATTTAATATTAGTCAGCCACATCCTATGTGATGACCACAGCATATTCCATTATACAGATGTATCTTAATGTTCCTAATTATTTCCTTACGGTTAGGTATTTATACGGCTTTCAATTTTTCACCGTTATAAGAAACACTGTAATGAACATCCTTGAAGCAACATTACTTGTGTACAGCCATATGTATCCTAAGAAAAAAATTGAACTGAACCTTTTTTTTCTGGCCCTTTAGGAGGCCCTCGCCAAGCTCAGTCTCCTCAGCCCCAGAGATCTGGAAGTCCCTCCCAGCAGAGGCTCTCCCCACAAGGCCAGCAGCCCCTGAGCCCCCAGTCTGGATCTCCACAGCAGCAAAGGTCACCAGGCTCTCCACAGCTATCCCGGGCATCCAGCGGCAGCTCCCCAAACCAGGCCTCCAAGCCAGGTGCCACCCTCACCTCACAGCCCCGGCCCCCTGTGCAGGGCCGTAGCACCTCCCAGCAGAGTGAAGAGTCCAAGAAGCCAGCACCACCCCATCCGCATCTCAAGTAAGTGCTTTGGGAATTGGAAAAGGTATAGGATCAAGCTGGGGTGTAGGCAGGGCTTGGCTGATTCAGGGTTAGGGACTTGGAGACAAAGGAAGACCCAACGAGGCCTTGCCTAAACTTCAAATAGGTAAAAACAAGACTAGAGGATGGAATTTGCTGGGGAAGCCCAAGAAGGTGAGAGTATAGATTAGACACCACCATGACCCTCCATGTATACACATATCAGTTATTTTTTGCCGCATAACAAACCACCCCAAAACTTAGTGGCTGAAGAAAACAATCATTTTCTTTGTTCGTAATTTTTTGGTTCAGCTGTCTGTTCTGAGTTTAGCTCAGTTGGGAGGTTCTTCTGCTGGTGTCTCCTATAGCGTTACAGGATAAAACTCAGGATACCCAGTTAGATTTACATTTCAGATAAAAAACAGATGATTGTGAGTGTAAGTATGCCCCAAACATTGCATGGAATATACTTACACTGAAAAAAAGTCTTAGCTTTTCATCTGAAATGCACATTTATCTTCATATTTGTATTTGCTAAATCTGGCAACTCTACTTTCCTGGAATCACTCATACAACTGCAGTCATGTGGCAGCTTCACTGAGGCTGAATGGTCCAGGAAGGCCTCACACACACATCTGGTTGCTGGTGCTGGCTGTCAGTTGGGGCCTCTCTCTCTCCATGGGGTCTCCTCCTCCCCAAGGCTCAGCCAAGCTCTCTCACATGGTAGAACTGCTTTTAAAAAGGGAGAGAGTGCAAGTTGCAAGGCCTCTTGAGGCCTAGCCTTGGGAGTTATGAAGTGTTATTCTATCACATGCTTTTAGTCAAAGCAAGTCACGGGGCCAAACCCACATTCAAGAGGTAGGAAATAAACTCTTGGTGGGAGGAGCCATGAAGTCACATCTCAAAAGGGCAGGCTACAGGGACAAGAGGAATCATTGCAGTCATTTTTGTGAGCCATCCATCACAATACACATATACATCCTGTCTCCCCTCAGGCCCATCTCTTGGTTTGAGGTCCTAAAGAGAGGTCCTAAACAGTTGTTCTTTGGAAAGCTCTACCTTCCTTCAAGGCCAAATGTTGATCATCACAGTTCACAGCTAACAGCTATTGTCCACTTCCTATGTGCCAAGCACTTTACTTACTTGGGTTTTTTTAAGTTCTCACAAGCTTAGGAGTTAATAACTATTTCTTATCCCCATTGTACAGATAAGTAGCAAAGAAAGATTAAATAACTTGCCAAAGGTTCCAGTTAATAACTAAAAGAGCTGGGATTAAACCCAGGACATCCAGTCCAGGGATCATGTTAACAACTATTTTTTTGTATAGGTAATATATTAACATGGTTCAAAGATCTAAAAGATATCAGGCCAGGTGCAGTGGCTCACGCCTGTAATCCCAACACTTTGGGAGGCCAAGGTGGGTGGATCACCTGAGGTTCGGGGTTCGAGACCAGCCTGGCCAACATGGTGAAACCCCATCTCTACTGAAAATACAAAAATTAGCTGGGTGTGGTGGTGCACACCTGTCGTCCCAGCTACTTGGGAGGCTGAGCTAGGAGAATCGCTTGAACCTGGGAGGTGAAGGTTGCAGTGAGCTGAGATTGTGCCACTGCACTCCAGCCTGGGTAACAAAGTGAGACTCCATCTCAAAAAATAAGTAAATAAATAAAAGATATCAAAGATGTATGTTGAAAAGCCTCATTGCTGCCCGATTCTCATCCAATGCTTTGCTGCCCTGTTCCCCAGAAATGACTTTTGTTAGTTCCTATGTGTCCTTTCAGTGCTTCCTTATGCAAATAAAAAATATTTGCATAAATAAAAATGTTCAGCTCCTTGCCCTCATTTTCTTACACACACAGGAGTATTCACTCTCCACACCATTCTGCTCACTGCTTTTCATGTTTAATAATAAATCCTGGAGCACCCGGTTCCTTGGAATTTTATTTTTTATGGCCATATAGTATTCCACTGTACAGTTGTACTATAATTTATCTAACTAATCCACCACAAATAGAAACTTGGTTTGCTCTTACAAATAATGCTGCAATTAATAAATCTTAACATATACTTTCATAGTTGCAAGACTCACTCTAGAGAAAATAACCTGACACGGTATTGTTGGATCAAAGGATAAATGTATTTTTAGTTTGACAGACACTGGCAAATGGCCCTTCTGGCAATATGGAATAGCAGCTGACAGCACAGACTCTAGAGTCAGACTGTCTGGGTTCAAATCCTAGTTCTACCACTTAACTACACGACCGGCCAGGCGCGGTGGCTCAAGCCTGTAGTCCCAGCACTTTGGGAGGCCGAGACAGGCGGATCACGAGGTCAGGAGATCGAGACCATCCTGGCTAACATGGTGAAACCCCGTCTCTACTAAAAAATACAAAAAACTAGCCGGGTGAGGTGGCAGGCGCCTGTAGTCCCAGCTACTCGGGAGGCTGAGGAAGGAGAATGGCGGCGTGAACCCGGGAGGCGGAGCTTGCAGTGAGCTGAGATCCGGCCACTGCACTCCCGCCTGGGTGACAGAGCCAGACTCTGTCTCAAAAAAAAAAAAAAAAAAAGATACGACCTCACATAAGTTGCCTAACCTCGCTGTGCTTCAATTTCCTCACGTGCAGAATGGGGACAATAACCCCACAGGGTTATTATAAGGATTGCAACGAGTTTCTGTAGAGTTGGTGCTTAGAATGCTGCTGGCACCATAGAGGCTTATCTATGTACAGCCTGTCACCACATAAGAAGGTCAGTCCAGCTAATCACAGGACAGACACGGGCTCTGGGCCTTAAACCAGGTTTGGTCACTAACCTTACAGTGTTCTAGCTAAAAACACGTACATTTCCTGACTTACTGCTTTGAAGAATTTGGCTCAATTCGAGTCAGCGGGTATTCACCAAATACCTACTCTGTGCCTGTTCTAGATAAGACTCTCTGAGGGTAGGAAGCAAGGAGTAAAAGACAGTCCCTGCTTTAAAGTCCCCAGTTTTTAATGTGATGACAGCATCACATGCAGAGCTCTTAAACTTTTGACACATTTGCATCATCTCTTCCTATGTCTGTTGCCTCCCCTCCTATGACTGAGCCTCCCGAGGCAGGGCCTGAATCATATTCATCTTACACCCTGTCCCCTAGCACGGGGGAAGTGCTCAGCAAGCAGTTGCTACAGGCTGGCATTTGGGAAGCACTCAGAATGGCACCTGCCATTCAAAAAGTTGGCACTAAAAGAATTCCAAAAGGGGGTGGGGGGCAGAATTAGCCATAAAGACATTGGAGAAGAGATGGGGATTGAAGTCCAGAATGTCAGAGCTGGAAGAGGCCTGAGGGTCAGCAGGACGAACCCGTCGCTCTACAGATGAGATAAAGGAAGCCCTGAGAAGGTAAGTTCCTTGCCCAAGGCCACAGACATCAAAGAGCAGAGAAGGTTCTAGAATACAGGCCTCCTGATACCTAAACTAGTGCTGGAAATAACTATAACTTGATGTTGATACAGCACATTGCAGTTTACAAAGTGGGTTTGTACTCACAGGCAGGAGAGCCGCCAAGCTACTACTCCAGCAATGCCTGCTGCCTCAACAGCCTGGCATAATGGAAAGAATGTGACCTCTGGGTGCTCCCCATTACTTGCTGTGAGGACCTGGGCAAGTTAATTGACTCTGTGAACCCCTATTCCTGAACCTAAGGAAAGAGGAACATAACCACCTTGCAAATCATGTGTGTAATCCACCTAATACCATGTAAGCATTGGAATCCCTGGTTTCTGGCCTTAATAACCTTATGATGATTGGGGTAGCTCATCTGGCTCCCAGGCAAGCCCCCAAGACCCATTTCTTTGATAGTCTATGCCTCGTCTTCCTCAACCCCCTTGCCTTTCTGTTACAGCAAATCTCAGTCCCTGACCAACAGCCTCAGCACATCCGACACCTCCCAGCGTGGGACCCCAAGTGAAGACGAGGCCAAGGCTGAAACCATCCGCAACCTGAGGAAGTCTTTTGCCAGCCTGTTCTCTGACTAACACCATCCAGGCTGGGAGGGGAAGAGTGCTCTGCTACACTCGTCCCCCTCCTGCCTCATCTTCATTCTCAGCCTTGGTTCCTGATGGGAACAGAATGGAGGGCCTGAGAACATACTTTCTAAATGCCTTTGACCCAGGAACTGATTATATTTGTTCCATTTTCCTTTACCGTGACATTCCAGCATTGTCTGACTGAGAGGTGGGCCTTTGAGAGCCTCCAGGTTCCTCGAAACAGGCCTGAGAGACGGGCGCCACATCCCTCTGCCTACCCACATACCCCGCCTCCCTGCCAGATAACCAAGTGAGATGTCTGCGAGTGGCTAATTTTCACATCCTCATTAGTGTTTTGCTCACCTTTGGGCAAAGGCCCCCTCTAGACCTTGCCCTACCTCCATCAAATGCAGACACTGTAGTCGGACCGCAGCAATATAGGAGGCAATAATCTTTTAACAGTGTTTTGCAAACAAAAAAAGAGAAAATCCCAGCCAGGGGAACTCACCACCTGCCCACGCTAGTTCCATCCATGCTCAAAACTTGCCCTTAGACCAGGCAGGCAAAGGCCCCCATCACATTTGGCCACTAGTGGGGTCCTGAAGCCAAGAAAGAAATGAGACCCTGTATGACAAGTGGGGTCTTTGAGAACACAGCAGAAACAGAGGGGCCCTGGTAATGCCACTCATACTCAGAGCATTATTCGTATTTGGACAGCCGAGAGCAGATCACAGGTTCTTGTAGGAATAAAGACTAGTTCACAGAGGAGAAAGAGGCCCGGGACCTCCCAAGGAAAGGGTCAGGTTAGGATCCTGTACCCATTCTGTTACACCACTGTTTGGTCTCTCTGGCCTCCCACCAGGAATGCCGTTTCCTTTTTACGGATCTGTTGGGAACCAGAGAGAAGCAACAGATGGATGACACAGGATCTGAAGTGCAATGGCAGTCACTTCTAGTTTGGCATCTCACAAACTCTGTACAGAGAGGTGTTGGTAGGTTATTCACTTTCAAAACGGGCCCCATGGTCAAATATGTTTAGGAACTACTGTTTGTATTTCTTTTTTGGAGATGCATTGTATATAATATATGTCAAAGGCTTTTGGAATTCCTGCAGGAAAGAAATCAGCTTTGTTAAATCCAAACTGATTTGACTCAATAAGTTAGCTGCAGAGCTGGAAAAAGTAGGCTAACTCCCTTCCCAGTGCTCTTTCCCCTGTACCAGCCTGCCCCTCATGCTTAGATAGGGTTCAGGGGTGACCTAAATCACCAAGCACCTGGTGCTAGAAACATAGTAGGTGCCAGAAGCAGCTTCCTGGTCTCGAAGAGAGCCCACGATACTAGAACATAGCTATGTTAGCCCCTTGCCTCCCACTTTGCAACCCGAGATATGTCTTCCCTTTGCTGTCCACGGGGAGGGGAGAGAGGGAGGTAAAAATGGAAGTGGCTCTGACCTGGAGCAGCTTCTAGTTATGGGCAAGCAATGTAGATTGTTTGGTAATCAGCCGAGATCTATCCAGGTTCCCAGGAGCATAAAAGCAATCATCTCCTTTTTGGTCCTCCAAAACCAAACTGGAGTGCTGACATCAGGGCCAGAGACCCTCTCCTTCTGTAGGCATTGGGTCACTCAGAACTCTCAACCTCAGAAAAGCCTCCCTTCAAGCTGGCTTTTGACAGGTTATTGGCTGGAGACTGGCTCAGTATCGAAAGTGCTAGCTGTGCACCTGGCTGCCAGAAAGCCACTTGGCCTTTAGGGCGGTCCTCTTCACATTGCCCTCTTCTCTCACTCATGATCGGGTCTGGATTTAAGAGCAAGAGACCCCAGGAAAATTCAGAAGTCCTCTCTCTCCTCTTGTTCAAGACCCTTGGTCTGGGATTCAATAATAAGTAGCAGACCTGGCATAAGAAAGATCAGATAAGTCAATTGCCAGTGACCATCGGGAGCCATAATTTGGCAGCTGGAGACTGGTAGGCTCAGGTCTGATTAACACTGGCGAGGATCCGCAGCAAATAAAATAGCCATTGTGTGAGGTGAGAAGTGAACAGCTGAAGGCCCTGTACTCTTTCTAGTGCCCAAAAGCCCACCACCCTTAGTCTATCTCCATGCTCGGCTGAGTTCCGTGTTATAGGACAGTCCCTGCATGTCTGGAGCTCACTCTGCCCAGTAACACATCTCCCTTCTTTTTGCTCAATGCAACAGAAGAGTCTGGCCAGGAGCTCCCAGAATCCTATCCAGAGGCAGCTGAGATGATGCAGTGGGCAGTCAGACACATGAAGCTGCTGCTTTGCAGGCATCGCTCTCAACACGTTCTTCTAGACCCCCAAGGTGGGTGGAGGTGGGGGTCCTGGGGTCAATATCCCACAGTCATGCCTGGGGGAAGTCAGGTGATGGCAAGGAATAATAGATCAGACCATTTATAATCCGGTGGAACTTTGCTTCGTCCTCCTGCTGCTGCTCACTTAGCTCTTTCACCGCTCCCTTGCAGCTTCTGAAGAAAGCCAAGTGGGGCATGAGGAAAAGAGACAGGAGGTGAAATTCAAAACGTCAGATGCGGGTACCTTTTAAAGCTATTCTGTTAAAAGAAATCGAACAGAAGAGAGTATAAATATTGATTAACGTAAGGTTTGATGACTAGCCAATGATTCTAGGAGTCCCATTACTTAAACGCGCACACACACACACACACACACACACACACACACACACACACACACATGCCCGGATAATAACTGGGAATTGACAAATGCACACCCTAAAATCCTGTCATCTCGTGATCGGTTCACAGTTGTCTGAAAACCTGCTTCCAGAGAATGGCTTCCCGACTTGTCCCCAAGAAGATAGGGGTCACTAGTATAAGTCACACGATGAGAGAACCAGAATATCAGCCTCTCAGACTTGAGGGTTCCTGGGCCTTTCCCCCTTCTTTCCTGACAAGGGCAGGTGAGGCTTCCCCATTAGAAGGACATGGGGCACTGCTTATAAGAGCAGCCTATTACAAGATCCAAGCACAGAGAGCTATAGGAGTTGAAGTTTGGTTCCTTCCACTTGAAAAAAATATATCCACCCTCCTTTCTCAGGGGTAGACCCTTCAAATATTAATAAATAATGCTATGCGACATCCTGAATAAACGGGTAAAAGAAAACTTGTAGGGCAGGATGTAACCACGAGGTCCACAAGTTTCAGGGGATTAAGAACACAGGAAACCCCTGTGGCAATCGTCCCTCTTCAACAGTCTCACCCAATTTTCACTTAGTAATAGAAGACAGCTCAAAACACACAACTGAATGGTAATAGGCTGGCCAAAGTTTCTCAACGTGTGGGCCATGGCCATGGGCAGAGCTAGTTACAAAGGCAGATGAAGCTTCATTTCGGACCAAAGGAGTCAGAATTTCTGGTCACAGGACCCAGAACCTGCATCTTTGTCAATGCCCCCACTTTGAGTGCACTTTGAAATGAGACCAGCAACCTGAGCTGGGCTGTGTGGGAAAGCCACTGCATGAGAAACAGTACCGGTATGGGTGTGCTATAGTCTCCAGCGCAGCTAAGAACCCACTCCTTTAGTGAACAAAACTAGTGGCCCCATGAACAATGACCACATGGCCTAAATCCTCCCATATTCCTATATTCTGTCCTTTGTCCTCAGACACACCTCCGCATTCAAAAGATATCTCCTAGATACTCCAGTATCTGCGTACAACAGCAGCAGAAACTCCTTCCAAACTCCAAATCAGGCCGGGCATCCTGATTTTTATAACCATGCACCGATATATCCAGATCCATGACATAACACTAGTTCATAGCCAACATGTTTAAATAATTTCCCCACTGGTCTGTGTATGAACATAGAAACCAAGGGCACATAGGCCTCATGGTGACCCCAAAATGGTGGTTTTGTCACACAGGCTAGCACGTGTTCCTTCCAAAAATGTAACCTTTAATAACTGTGACATTTTGAAATGGGAAAGGGCAAAAAGGAGGGAGAGGGGAGTCATGTTATATAGACTCTAAAATGTTATGTTCGTTGCTTTTTTTTGTTTTTTTGCTTTGTTTCGCAACTTTGAGCCAGAGAAAGGCTAGCATTTTCCCTCCAAGCTGACTCGGGGAAGCTGAAACACAACAAAGACCTATTTGATTTGTGCACAATGAACAGGGATTTAAAAACGCAGCCTTAGTGGACAGCTCTACCAGCCAGAGAAAAGTTCTTCCAGATCTTCCTCCCGTCAGCATGATAAAATGGTACTATACTTTGGTTAAATGTAAAATCAGCTTTCCAGGAACAGTGGAATATCCTTTCTCCTCCATCAGCCCCCTAGATTCTCTTCGTTACTACATTCTCTAGCCTAACATTCAGTCCCTGCTGAATTAACTCATATTCAGATACATTCAAGCTAGAACTCACACTCAGTTCTGTCTTTCCAAAATTTAAGAGGATGAGAGGTCTTCACTCACATGGTAACAAACACAGCAGCAAACCCCATAAAACTGAACATCAGCTGCCTTCTGGAAGTTCTCATCTGGCAAGCTAGTGCAGGTATCTTGTGCACGGGTCAAGAGAGTGAAGCTCAGAACACATTGCTTGGCACCCAGCAGGTGTTCAGGACATGTTTTAGCTCAGCCCTCCTAGAAAACTATGAAATAAAATCCAAACAAAAGTATTAAGATTGAAATAAAAGGATGTTTTTCTAAGAGTATCAATATATGGAAGTGACTTGCCCAAGAATAGACTCAAACCAACCAAAACCCAATAAAATGAGATAATTGAGAAAGCAGCAGCAGAAAATCAATGTCAGGTTTTCAACCTCAAAAAGACCTCTTCTAAACTGAATCTGAAGAGGAATGGGAGGAGGCAGAATGAGAACATGAGACCACTCCTCGGGGTCTACAAGAAGGTTAAGGTGACTGCAGGGCTGTGAGCCGTAGGGGAGTTGCCATTGTCAGCATCGGTCAGGGAAGCTGGAGTGGGCAGACCAGGACAACTCCACAGCTTCGGCAGCAAAGGTCCAGGACCAAGGAAAGCAAGTACACAGATTGTGCTTCACACAACAAACACAGCAGAGTTTCCAAACAGCACAGCCTCAGCTCGAACCAGCCCAGGAGCACACCATGTCCTTTCAGGACCTGCCCTTTCCAGTGCCCTAGGGCAGACTAATCTCTTAATGCTTTATTCAACTTCGTAAAACACTGGTGGCTCATTTTATGTGTTTTGAATTGGTGAAAGGATGCAGGTTAGTCACGCGTTAGGGTTAAGCTCGGTAAGTCAGCCTTGCAGATACAAGTGGCAGCTTAATTATCCTGGAGGCAGAGCTCATTGCCTAAGAGCACTTTCACACGAGTCTCTGCTTTTCCTTTATCCGAGAGGGCAAGCTGGCTGGTTACTAATTATACCGTCAAAAGCTGTCCTAGGCTCCTGAGTTGCTGCTGATGTAAGTGTTTCAGCCTAATATTTGGACTCTAATAGAAGGCAGCACTTTTGGTTTGGTAGGAGACAAACTGGAAGGCTGGGCAACAAGTAAGTTAAAGTCGTCCATTTATCAAACACAATGCCTAAGAGACACAGAGGCTCCCTTCTGTTTCCACGCACTGGCTGTTTCCACGCAGCTGAAAGAGATGAGCTGTGGACACTCAGACTTTGTACTGAGATGAATTGACTGGCCAAGAGGAAAAGAAGAAAGTGGTTGGGAAATATTTTTTGGAACTGGTGGGGCATTCCTGTAAGGGAAATCAATCTAAAACTAAACATTCTTTCTACACCATGTGTATAAAATACACTTTTTTAATATATACAGACACGGTCTTGCTATATTGCCCAGGCAGGTCTCAAACCCCTGGCTTCAAGCAATCCTCCCACCTAGGCCTCCCAAAGTGCTGGGATTACAGGTGAGGGCCACTGCACCTGGCTACACATTTTAATCCTTGAAAATCCTAAATCCCTTTCATTGTCTTTACACTGATTAATCTTCCCAACTGTAATTTGTTTCCATCCTCTCACAGTCTAAGTGTCTGCTCTCCATGGTCTTTCACTGAGTCTAGAGCACAAGCAAGATCACAGTTCTTTGGCACTCAGTTAACGTACTGTTTTGCTATGGATTAGCAGAAACTAAGTGCTGTAACCTATTGGGGAATCTCAGGAGTGACATTTAAGCTAGTCAGTTTAAATCAAATCCTTGTTGTGTGTGACTTACCCAGTACTTCCCAATGATCTTATCCACTCATCTTCTACAGTCAATTGAAGACTACACAAAGAAGCACTGCTCATGCATATGGCACAGCAGAGCACTGGGACCCGCCCAGCTCCTCTCTGAAGCTCTGTAATTGGGCCGCTACTGCCTAGAGTAGGAGAGAGGCAAGCCTTAGTGCTAGGCCCTGAGTATAGTGAGCAAAAGAAGAAATGTCCAGCTCCATGAAAGAATTACAGAGGTAATAAGCAAAGCAGTGGTCTCAGGAATTGGAAAGACCCAAGCAAGAGTCAGAATTCAACAGTTTTTACACAAAGAATATCAAAATCTTAAGTTGGAAGGACACCTTCCATGATTTGATTCCCAGCCACATCAAACTTCCATTTATAAATGAGGGGAATGGGGCAGAGAACGGTGGCTCACACCTGTAATCCCAGCACTTCGGGAGGCCAAGGCAGGCAGATCACGAGGTCAAGAGATCAAGACCATCCTGGCCAACATGGTGAAACCTCGTCCCTACTAAAAATACAAAAATTAGCCGGGCATGGTGGTGCGTACCTGTAGTCCCAGCTACTTGGGAGGCTGAGGCGGGAGAATCACTGGAACCCAGGAGGCAGAGGTTGCAGTGAGCCGAGATCATCCACTGCAGTCCAGCCTGGTGACAGAGCAAGACTCCATCTCAAAAAAAAAAAAGTAAAGGGAAAATAAGGGGCTACAGAAAGGCATAGGACATGATATCGAACCACATCTTACTAAGATGCGTTGCTGTGGCACTCTAAACTCTTGCTTGCTTCCATTACAATACATCCAGGTGATCTCAGAAAATCGTGCAGTGAACAGGCTACTGCGAAACTACGATTTTCCTCTCATTATACACCAGCAATACATACAGCTCAACAGTCTCAGTTTAATGACAAGAATGTAGGACTTTACAAGCTTCTAACTATAAATTCAGCTTTTCAAGAGGAAATGCTTTGAGGATTGTCTTAAGAATTATTTAAAAAACTATTGAGAGATCTGCAAATTTAGGTTTAGGCGTACTGCCAATATCCTAAACTAAGCGAGATTTGTAATGTCTGCCAGTTAGTCTGAGGTGAGGATGGAAAGCAGCACCAGTATCCACAGGACACCAGCACCATCCATGGAGTTCTCAAGGGCCACTCAAAAAAGACTGCATTCTGAACACTTGTTGTTTTATAGTATTTGGTGCTTCTGGTTGTCACCATGTCCTCCCACACCCACTACACACATACACACATCCCCTGCGTAGTGCAACGTAACATTGCAAAGCCACAAATAAATGTATCAGAGAACTAGTATATGGACCCAACAAAGCTTCAGGAGGACCTTGTTAAACCCAATTAAAGCCATATGGCATCTAGTGAACACATTTTTAAAAGGCTGTCCTGTAGCTCAGATATTACAAAATACCACAGAAACAAATGTCAACAACTCCAATCCTTTACATTAAGCTACTAAAAGTAACAGGCCTCAAGAAAATCATATTATTGACTGAATTTTCTTCACTGTGATGATAAAAAAAAAAAAAACTCAATATACATGTGTAGCAAAAAAAAAAAAAATTCACTTGTATGTAGGACTCAAAATATTCTTGCAGCACTTAACATTCCAAGCCATTTCCTTATATGCAAAACAATTTTTAAAAAAGCAGGAAGACATTGGCAATATTCCTATTTTCTGTAGATGCTAGTAGTGGTTTATTCCTATGTTGTGAATCAGATTTTGTCACTATAGCATGTTTCTATAGTTGTTTGTATAAGTCATTTGTGTTTGGCCTTTTTCTTGTTGTAGAAAAAATAAATCTTGAATTTTGTGTATTTAAGTCTGAAAAGCAAAATGTTCTTCAAATAAGAGGCTATCTTTGAAGAACAATACCTGATTAGCACTCACAGCAGTAAAACTTTTTAAAAAGATATCATCTACTTAAATTACAAATTAGGGGCTAAGTGTTCAAAACACAAGGAAAACAAAATCATAACCACCTCATCCCAGGAGCCACAAACAGGAGTCCCTAATACCAAATGGCCTTTGAACAACATTGCTTCACAGCCCAGAAAGTTCCACCACAGAACCCAAGAAAGAGCTGCAGAGAGAGAAGAGGTGGACCTGAGTGGGTGTGTGGCCAAAGCACCCACCCCAAGTCCAGTTCAACCAAACTAGCTGCTTTCATTCAGTTCATAAATCAGGCCTTTGAAAAAGATAGAGCGCTGCTAAAATGAAAAAACAAAACAAAACAAAACAAAAAAACAGAAACCCCTTACAAAAATTATCTGCCTATGCTATGTTCTGATAATTCTGAAATGTCCAAATAACATTGTGTATCTGTTCTGAATATTTATTACATATCTTTCTGTAATAAAAATCAAGACCACCATGTCATTTACACTTTTTTTTTAATCTGGTAAGAACAGCATCAGAAAACCACCTTCGATCTAGAGGAGAACCAAGAGCAGGGAGATCAGCAGCCAACTATTCCCAAGGCCAACCTTGCCACAAAGGAACCTTTGGGTCACACCACCCCTAGGGCTGTAAATATATCTCTTAAAAGGCTTCTGGGAGTGCAATTCTCACCACTACAATCAGAAAATAACACTCGAGATCAGCACCCCAAGGAGTTGACATCTGTAGTTTAGAAACAAAAACAAATGGAGCTCCAGAAATGAAATTACAAATCAATCACATGAATGACAGGCGGCCGTCAGTTGGCCGACCCCTACTGGGTCTAAAGGGAAATCTGTCATTGGGGCCGCCTCGCCCTGGCAAGATGGGGTTAGGTCCTGGGAGTGGGCCAATTGGATCAAAGCGTGGTCTGAGTGGAGGGAACTGGCTGGGCGTCTCCCCAGGACCAGGAATGAGTGAATTGATTGGGTCTCCAACATAGGGAAGTGTTGGTCTTTGGTCATATTCACCCCCGATAATTCCTGGAGGAAGGCGGGAGCTAGGAAACGGCCTAGGGTGCAAGGGGTTGGGATAGAATGGAATGCCGTGAGTTGACGATGGCAGGAGCATCACAAACCGCCCTTTGGGGGATTCTTTTCTTTGTATGTGCCTCTTCCTGTACAGCTGTAGAAAAAAGAAAAATAAAAGAACAAGATAAGGTAAGTGATCTGGATGTTTCCCTATAGTTCTAATTTGCTTTCATAGTAAAGATCTATAGGTACACCTCAGAGATACTGTGGATTTAGTCCCAAACCAATGCAATAAACCAAGTCACACAAATTTTTTGGTTTCCCAGTGTATATAAATCCTACGTTTACTATAGTAAGTGTGCAATGGCATTATATCTAAAAAGACAATGTACTTAAAAATATTTAAAAATACTTATTGATAAAAAATGCTAACAATCACCTGAGTCTTTAGCAAGTTGCAATCTTTTTGCTAGTAGAGGGTCTTGCCTCCACATTCATTGCTGCTGACGGGTCAGGGTGCTGGTTGCTAAAGGCTGAAGTGGCTGTGGCAATTTCTTAAAATAAGACAACAGTGAAGTCTGCCACATTAACGGACTCTTCCTTTCATGAAAGATTTATCTGTACGTGCGATGCTGTTTGATCGCATTTTACCCACAGTAAAACTTTCAAAATCAGAGTCAACCTTCTCAAACCCTGCTTCTGTTTTGTCAACTAAATTTATGTAATATTCGAAATCCTTTGTTTTCCAGGAATAGATTCCATTCCAAGAAACCACTGATAAAGAAAAGGTGGTATATGTATACCATGGAATACTACTCAGCCATAAAAAGGAATGAAATAATGTCTTTTGCAGCAACTTGGTTGCAGCTGGAGGCCATTATTTTAAGTGAAGTAACTCAAGAATGGAAAATCAAATCTTGTGAGAGCTAAGCTATGAGGATGCAAAGGCATAAGAATGACATAATGGACTCTGGGGACTTAGGGGGAAAGGCTGGGAGGGAGGTAAGGGCTAAAAGACTACATCTTGGGTACAGTTTACACTGCTTGGGTGACAGGTGCACTAAAATCTCAGAAATCACCACTAAAGAACTTATCCATGTAACCAAAAACCACCTGTAACCCAAAAACTACTGACTTTTTTTGTTTTGAGATAGAGTCTCACTGCTCTGTCCCCCAGGCTGGAGTGCAGTGGCGCGATCTCGGCTCACTGCAAGCTCCACCTCCCGGGTTCACACCTTTCTCCTGCCTCAGCCTCCCAAGTTAGTTGGGACTACAGGCGCCCGCCACCGCGCCCAGCTAATTTTTTGTATTTTGAGTACAGATGGGGTTTCACTGTGTTAGCCAGGATGGTCTCAATCTCCTGACCTCGTGATCCGCCCACCTCGGCCCCTCAAAATGCTGGGATTACAGGTGTGAGCCACCACACCCAGCCGACATTTTTTTTTAAAAAAAAAACACTTTCTGTCTTCATCTATAAGAAGCAAGTTCTCATCCATTCAAGTTTGACTGTGAGATTGCGGCAATTCAGTCCCATCTTTAGGCTCCACTTCTAATTCTAGCTCTCTTGCTAGGTCCATCACATCTGCACTCCTCCACTGAGGTCTTGAACCCCTCAAAGTAATCCATGAGGATTGGAATCAACTTCCAAACTCCTGTTAATGTTGGTATTTCATCTCCCCCCATGAATCCTGAATATGCTTAATGGCATCTAGAAGGGTAAATCCTTTCCAAAAGGTTTTCAGTTTCCTTTGTCCAGATCCATCAGGAATCACTGTCTCTGGCAACTATGGCCTTACAAAATGTATTTCTTAAATAATAAGATTCAAAGTCAAAATTACTCCTTGATCCATGAGCTTCAGAATGCAGTTGTGTTTGCTGACATGAAAACGTTAATCTCCTTGCACATCAGCATCAGAGATGTGGGACGACTGGCTGCATTGTCCATGAGCAGTAGTATTTTATTTTTTATAAGCAGTAGGCCTCAATAGTGGACTTGAAATATTCAGTAAACCATGCCATAAACTACGTACTGTCATTCAGGCTTTGTTGTTCCATTTACAGAGCAAAGGCACAGATTTAGCATAATTCCTTTTTTCTTTTCTTTTTTTTTTTTGAGACAGAGTCTTGCACTGTCTCCTGGGTTGGAGTGCAATGGAGCGATCTTGGCTCACTGCAACCTCTGCCTCCCCGGTTCAAGTGATTCTCCTGCCTCAGCCTCCTGAGTAGCTGGGATTACAGATGCACACCACCACACCCGGCAATTTTCTTTATTTTTAGTAGAGACACGGTTTCACCGTGTTAGCCAAGATAGTCTCGAACTCCTGACCTCAGGTGATCCGCCTGCCTCGGCCTCCCAAAGTGCTGGGATTACAGGCGTGAGTCACCGTACCAGGCCTGAGTGAGCATAATTGTTAAGGGCCCTAGGATTTTCAGAATGGTCAACAAGCACTGGCTTCAAAAATCACCAACTGCATTAGTCCCTAAAAAAAGAGTCAGCCTGTCCTTTGAAGCTGGGCACTGACTTCTCTCTAGCTATGAAATAGATGGCGTCTTCTTCCAATAGAAAGCTGTTTCTTCTACATTGAAAATCTGTTGTGTAATGCAGCCACCTTCATCAGTGATTTTAGCTACATCTTCTGGATAACTTGGAGCAGCTTCTCCATCAGCACTTGCTGCTCTACCTTGCAGTTTGTTATGGAGACATTAGAATAGTACCTTATGAAACAGTATAATATATTCTTTTCATAAGGTACTATTTTAACTAGCTGAACAGCTGATGACTACTCCAGCACAAAGACAATTCATTTAAATTTTGTTGCAACAAAAGAATGTTTTACAATAAGTAAAGATGAAAAATAATCGTGTTAACATTTTTTCCATATAATTATAAGAAAATAAGGACTGAGTCTAAAGTAAAAGTTGAAAACATTTTCATTTACTGAAATTTAGCAGTAAATTAAATGAAAACAGATTTCATTACATCATATAAAAGTGAAAATATACCCTTAATATATTAATTCACTAGTCATTTCTGTGTTATGGATATTAGCCTTAATATTTAAAAATACCTACTTCTTTCCAATCTGTGTCTTGAACTCTGACAGTATTGTCTACAAAGGAAAAATGAAAAATAAGGATTTAAAAACATTTCATTCATCCAGCATTAAACAATGGGTTTTGTTTTTCTCCTAAGAAAAGTGAAACTTACCCATTAAGCATGAGAAAAAAAGAAAAAAAAACTAATCATTTATATAACACACACTATATCATTCGTATTTTCTTATCTAATTCAAACACTTTCTTGATGGTTAAGGGTGATCACCGCTGCTCTGTGCTACACGGTAATTCAATGCAGTGATTCCTCAGGGACTATGGAGAAACATGCTCTCTTCCTCCATTAACTGGTTCTACACTGTATCTTCTCCCCCTAATCTCATTTAGGTGTGTCATCTGCTTCTAATCCAATGTCTCATGTTACACCAAACTGGGTAACCTCAGAGTTTCTGTATTACAGCCCATGTTCATTACTGCAGGTCACACTGACTTAGTCTTTCATCCATATTCCGGTTACACTATTTTCTCCCAACCATGTCCTGAATGACTCGGCTATCAGAAGCATGACCATAACTAAGTATTTTTTAATGTACTTATTTATTTGAAATATGTGAAATGGGGAAAAAGAAACCCATTCAACTTTAAGTATACAAAAGTGTTTGGATAAAAGATGATGATATCTTCTCTACAAGTTACTACATTAGCAAGGAGTAAGGTTTATAAAAGCTCTGGCCCCATAACATTGTATCTATAGAAAAATCTGAACAGCTTATAAATGAGCTTGTGGGCCACAATCTAAAAATTAAAGAATAATTGTGCTTTAATCCTAAACTTGAATATACAAGTGAAAGGGTATTTGTTCCTTTTATGAGTATTTATATCATACCCTGCTTTTTCTCAGTGCTTCCATATACATCAGTCATTCTGCCTTTTATTTTTTACTATATTTTTAATTCTTTTTTGAGTTGGAGACCAGCCTGGGCAACACTGCAAGACTTTGTCTCCACTAAAAATAAACAAACAAAAAAGTTGGCCAGGTATGGGGGCGTATGCCTATAGTCTCAGCTACTTACAAGGCTGAGGAGGGAGGATCACTTGAGCCCAGGAGTTGGAGGTGGCAGTGAGCGATGATTGCGCCACTGCACTCCAGGGCATCTCAAAAAAATAAAATAAAATAAAATAAAATGAATTATTTTTTGAGATGATGCTTTCTTGCTGCCAACTGAGACAAAATAACATTTTAAATGTCAAATTCAGGGACATAAAAAAAAGCAAAAAGAGGACCTCAGGAATCAAAGAAGAGGAAAAGGAACACACCAGGTCATTTACACTTCTTACATTTTGAAATTTTAAAAGAAAAAAACATAAATAGGAATGCTATTTATAAAATAAATATGGATTTTTCCATTGTGAGTTTTTTTGTAACACGACCCATTAAATGGATTTCATGACCCACCCCAGGGTCAAACAATCTGAAAACACCAATATGTAGTAAAATGGTGGCAGCAGAAAAAAAGTTCCACAATCAGGTTTTTGGCCTTGTAGCAGGAAATCCTGATGCACAAGTTCTACCATCATCAGTGCCACAATAATTACCAGGTCACCATAATGTGACCATACAGAAATAAAGCTGCCCTAGCAACATGGAACAGGTCAACAAAACTCTCTTAACTTACATACTGGTCTCAACCACGAAAGCAGTTCAGAAATGCCAGCTCATTTCTAAGTCAGATGCTGACTATTGTCTCTAGCGAGAAAATAAGCCTGTCTTACTTTCATTTTTCTATCCTGAAATAATCTTCTTACACTAATGAGCGATTTGTGTTGTGCAAAATACAAAAATGAGAGGGTTTTAGGGACACAGGCAAAGGTATATGAAGCTTAGAGTCAGTCTCTTTAAGGCTATTAAAATTATTTGCAACAGAAAAATCCTACAACTAAAAACTTTTGGTGAGCTGAGTAATTAAGACAGTAAGAAAGAGCCCTTTCTTGTGAATATGTCGTCATGGAAATCACCTCGAAAATCACGCAGATACAAAAACCTCCACAGAAGCGGGTCATTTGAAGCAGTAAAGAGGTCACGACAAACTGCAGACAAAGACAAGACGGAACGAACATCCAGAAGTCGGAAGATCCGTAGTTTCAGTTCCAACGGGAGGACGACCAACCCAAATACATCTGGTAGGCTCAGTGCTAAAAGGAAAAAAAGAGAAGTAACAGGTATTACTGAGTAAAGAACATCTGGCTTTCTCCACACAGTCAACAAAGTTGCCACCTGTTCCTTTCTAAAGTGGCAAAAAATTAGATGGTACTCTTAATTATCCCCAAGTATGCATCATCTACAACGAATTTTTAACCCCAGCTTGACTATAATTACTACTAACTCATGCAACTCTAGGCCCTTACTCCCTTGATGTTTTAGTAGAAAGACAAATGCTTTTTAATATAAATCAAATAACTATAACAATTGCTAAATTCTAGCCAATGGCCTCTTCTGTCTCAAACATTATTCAATACAACAATATTTCTTTATTCAACTACAGACAATGAGTAATTCTTGGCTTTTATATCTGATTCCCTGCCAGTTATTAACTGTGTGCCTTTGGACAAGTTATTTAAACTCTAACTTAATTTCATCTGTAAAATGGATTAATATTACATCCCACCGACTTCAATGAGTTGTTGTGAGAAGTAAATGTATTAATACGTATTAAGTGCTTAGAACAATGTTTGGCACACCAAGCATAAGCACTCAAGTGTTAGCAAATTACTATTACCTGAAGTCTAGCAGGCTAAAAAGAGATAGATAAATTCAGCAACAAAGCCAAGAAAGGAAAAGAAAAATAATATGTTCCAAGTTCAGTGAAAATTATGTTTTGGTTATCAGCACCTTCAAAATATTTGTGATACTATTCTCCACTAGCAAAAATAATCAAAATCCAACAAAGACATATCTATATGTGTTTTTCAATTGACATTACTTCCTTTCCCTCATCACCAACTACAGAGAAGACTACTGTTATAATAGACATGCCACCATTCAACTTGACACCAAAAATGTTACTTACTTCTCTACACACAGAGAGCAAATAAAAGCCACTATCTGTTCACATAAGTCAGAAACTACCTACTAGTTGGAGAATTGTGGGAGATTGTATTGTGGTTCTCAATCACTTCCTACACATAATTATACTTCCCTACCCCACTACCATCAGGCTTGGCCATTTTTGTCTTATTTTTTCAATAAAATGTGAGTGGAAGTGACATATATAATTTCTGGGCAAAAGCGCTGAACCAACACATAATTGGGCCACTGGCACACCACAAGAGGAGCACGTCCTAGATAAAGACAACTCCTTCAGCCAAAGCAAACCCACACACAACATGTACACGAGCGAGAAGTAAATTTCACTGTAAGTCACTGAGATTTTAAATTTTTTTAACTGCAAAAAAAATAATAAGAGAAAGCTAATATAAGGATCTTGAGTGAATTATAAACCTTACTGAATTATGATTTCATCGTGTATAAAATCAGTACCATAAAATTTACTTCAAAGTCATTAGCAGTAAATAAGAGTGCATGTGAAATATCCAACAAAGTGCCTGCATAGAGCCTCCAATAAATGGTTTAAAAAAAAAACTCAGATCCAATTACAGACCATATATTATTTATGTGTGTGTGTGTGTATATATATACACATACATATATATACACACATATATATAAATATATGTGTGTATAGAGAGAAAGAGCATCTATTATGTACCTGACCCCATGCTAGACCACAAGAATACAAACGTTAAGATATATTCCCTACCTTCAAGATATTCCCAACTTTAGGTGGAAAGAAATCATATCAACAATTATAGTCCATGGAAAAGAGTCTATAATAAAAATATGTACAAAATAGCATGGAAATACAAAGAGCAAGTAAATAGCACTTAAGGAATATTAAGCTTAGTCTTAAAAGAGGAACATTTAGCTAGCAGCAGAAAAGAGGGCAGTCAGATGTCATACCCACCAAGAATACTAAGTATACTTATATTCTTTACAGTCCCTTGAACTGAGACAGTATTTCATCTCTTACCTTGTCGGGTAAAAGCCAGAAGAGGATACACCAGCTGGTCTTTAAAGAGGCGAGAGAGTTTCTGAAGATCTTTGTATATCTTGGATACATTTTCCCCTAGAATATTTTTTAATGAAAAATCAAAACCCAAACACAATCAACATGGCAAATAAATATTAACAAATAATTCACAAAGATAAGCATGAACCAAATTCCTTCATGGAAGAAGTACAGTGCAAGACTTGATAAAACTGAATCTTAGATATAAAAGCTAAAAATTCCATGCTATCAAATTAGTAGAGTTGTGCCCAACCTCTCTAGCTCATAGGCTGCAATTGTAGAAAAAGCTTGTGTGAGATTCATACACAGGAAGATTTCCCGAATAGCTATCAATCTGTGCTGGGCACTGAGGATACAGTGGAGACCTGCTCCTGTAACACTTAGAACCTGGTAAATTAATAGCATTTATCACATGATGACTATGTATCAGCACCTGTGTCAAGCATTTTTCAAACTTTCACATCAGAAGTTCTTTCCTAAGTAATTACTATCGCCATTTTAAAAACAGGTCAAGGTACAGAAAGCCTGTCCAAGGCCCCATGGTTAGTGGCAGAACAGTGCACAAACCCAAGTCTGTGTGGCTCAAAAGCACTCATTTTTAGCCACCACACTGCTACTCAAAATGTGGGCAGCAGATCACCAGAACTGACAATACCTGGAACTGTTTAGAACTACTGAATCTCAGGCCCGCTGCAGACCTACCAAATCAGAACCTGTAGTTTAATAAGATCCCCATGTGACTCATATTAAAGTATGGACGCACTACCAAATTGCAGCCGAGGTTCCCACTTGTTTTGCTATTTACCAAGTGTATAGCCTTGGACAAATAACCTGCCCCTCTGATCCTCACCTTTTTGCTCCACTGTTTAAGGGAGACGCCACCACTACACCCGGTAAGGCTGTTATAACTGAGAGCTCCACGAGCAGTGCCTAGTGTATCAGTAGACAATTTATGCTTGCTCCTTCCCCATTCCATATTTATGTATTTCACTATCTATAACAAATAAAACACTCAGTATAACAGGATCAATAAGAAGGAAAGAGACACGCAGCTAATGTCTAAACCTTTGTTGTGTGACTTGCAATCTTGAACTGAAATTTGCTGTCGAGGTATCATTTTTAAAAATCAATTTGGCTCAAGGGCTTTTTTCAAATGTGAAAAATGATTTTCTTTAAATGAATTTTTTTACTTCAGCAACCTGGTATGTAACTATTTAATTAGAAACTTATGAATAAAAGGATAAATAACAGTGCCTAGTTGTAGTTACTAGGTGCTATCAGTCACAGTAAAAATTCATTAAAATGACTTGCCAAATGAGCAGCATATTCCTACTCAATGTAAAAGACTTTATTAAAAATACTTCATTATAACAGTCCATAAAGTTGTAATTTAACAGTATTTAACGTTCCTCCTCCTTTCCATTTCCTTTTTCCTTTTTTAAGAGAAAGCAGATAAAGAATAGCAATCTGAGCTACATTCCTGTAAAAGTTGTTTTAAAAGGCTGGGAGTCAGCCAAATCTATTCCAATCCTGTATTTCACCATTGATTAGCTCTGTGACCCTTAAGTAACTTAGCTTCCTCTAGATCTGTTTCCTGATCTAGAAAATGGGCATAAAACCTCTACTGCTGTAGAGTGTAGAGTATTTCTACTCTCCATAACAAGGTCCTCCCTATACAGTGATAAATATGGAGTGTCGTAACCAAGGAATTTCAAGTTTTTCTGACCCTAATGATAAAACTCATCTATACAGATTCATCAGTCCAGTTTATGCAGTTTCAACCGGGGCAAAAACTGGTGCTTGACAAGTTAAAAACCATTATATTGGTTTGTGATCCTTCAAAGGGTCACAGTACATAAATAAAATATATTTGTGGTATTAAATTTCATGAAGGAGAGAGATCGAGGGGAAAAATCTCCGAAGGCTCCTTTGGGAAGTGATAATAAATAAAAAGATTGAGAAACTCTGGCCTAGTCTGACATTAAACGTTCAACTCGGCCAGGTGCGGTGGCTCACGCCTGTAATCTCAGCACTCTGGGAGGCCGAGGCGGGCAGATCACAAGGTCAGGAGTTCGAGACCAGCCTGGCCAATATGGTGATTGCCTGTCTCTACTAAAAATACAAAAAAAATTTCACGAGGTCAGGAGTTCAAGACTAGCCTGGTCAATATGGTGATATCCTGTCTCTACTAAAAATACAAAAAAATTAGCGGGACATGGTGGTGTGCACCTATAGTCCCAGCTACTCGGGAGGCTGAGGCAGAAGAATTGCTTGAACCCGGGAGGCAGAGGTTGCAGTGAGCCAAGATAGCACCACTGCACTCCAGCCTGGCGACACAGCGAGACTGCATCTCAAAAAAAAAAAAAAAAAAAAGCTCAATTCACCTAATGCCCAAGTTCTGATTCTACGTCCAACCAGAGACCATTATAAATATGTATTCTGCTGTCTCCTTTTCCTATCAGTTTTAGTTAGTATAAATCCATCTCTCAGGGCTGATCTCCCCTAGGAATGAACAAGAATAAGTCTTTAGACCTTCAAAGCAACAATGTCAATCTAGCCAGCCTTTCTTAAATGACTACTATAAATGCCATCTTCCCACTGTACCACAACATTCCCACTAGGCTCTTAAAACCCTCCTAAGTTTACTAAGAAGATTAAATGGAATAACATATGTACAGACACAAGTACATAATGAAACAGGCACTTAAAAAATGTCAGTTCCCCTCTCCACCTTCTCTCTTCTCCTCTAACCACCTGTAACTGCCTCTCACAGTTTGGTTTAACTGAAAAATGATAAAAAGGAAAATCTGTCTTCTTTGCATCTATTAATAATTTTATAGAGTTTAGGCAAAAACTTACCTAGAATGCAAACTTTTGGTAAAGTATCAATCTGTATAAAACAGCAATCAAATTTATGTAGGTTTAAACAAAGATTTTGATTGCAGTTTTTCCTCCAATAATCTTTAATAATGAACTTGAATTACTTCCATGAAACACAGATCTCCATATTGGTTAAATATGATACCAGAGAGATCTCCAAAGATTAGTACAGAAACTATGAACTATCATCAGAGTGTAATAAATTACATACTAGTGTTATCTCATAACAATATAATTCAGCACTCTATGACCCTAAGAAAAACAAGAAACAAACTCCTCAAATTATAAGCAAAATTTTTGCATTTTTTAAACCTTTGCATTCTTAAGCAAACCACATTATCTTCAATATGCTTTAATCTCATATAGAAATTTTCTGTCTTTTGAACATTATCTTTCAGATTTTTTTCTTATACGAATTTCACAGAGTTTCACTCCAAAAGTTAAATAATGTTTATATTACCTAGTTTCTCTTTGCAAATAAAAGATTCTGGTAGCAGCTGCAATCTTTTCACACTTCTAATCTCATTGTTGATTTTCAGTGTAGCTGTAAATAAACAAAAGAAAGATGATAAAAAATGCTGTCACTTCATCAACTGCCTTTCTTGTTTAGTATGGGCTTGCATTTCCTTGCTCCTAATATACTAAGGACACATTATACAAAACAAACTGTTCTTCGCCTATTTCGTTCTCTGATAGCAAGTTCAAAAGTGTAAACCTGGCATCACATGAAGTAAAAATCACTCTACAACACCACCTTTAAAGACTACAGTAAGCATCTTTATATAAAATCCACTAGGCAGCAGCTTATTAGTAATTGAAAGATACGCAACAAGGCTAATCAGAGGCAACTAAACACAATAAAATCATTATTTCTAATGAAGTCACTAAAAACTCCATTTATCTTTTATTTAACCCTTGGCAATGAGTCTTCCCTTGTTCATTAAAATAATCTTGCCAGTTTTCAGAGCATCATCTCTCTTCCAGACCCAAAGGACCAATATTCTTGACATCACCAGAGGGTTCAATTTTAATCATGTATACAAAGGCGCGCTTCAACTCATCCCATGAAAGAGCCCAGTGATGTGCTTATGCACATGTGTACCAAGCAGGATGCCTGGAGTGAAGGAAAGATTTAAAGACACTGCTCTTTTCAAAGAATCAATCCTGGAATGGCTGGCTGCCATGCAAGTCTGCCAAGAGCTGATTTGCCAAGAACAGTAAAGAAACAAAGTATCAGAAATTAAGAAATCATCAAGACATTCAGTAGTTATTCTTTTTATATTAAGTATTCTGAATCTAGTGAATAGACATTATTATATACATCATTAAGTGCTTTTATAAGAAATCAAGGCAAAATTTGCAACTACACATTTACTATTTGGTAACTTCAACCTTGCAAGTTATGATGTGATGTAGCAGAATGATGAGATGAAGGCAGAAACTGTTGACACTCTGTGTACAAGAATGCCAAACTAAAAGCTACATTTGCTAATTATGATGAACTGCTGAATAGACATTGCTAGGTCCTAGTGTCATCAGTCATGTCCTGACAAACGTGAAGTACCACCAAAGCTATTAAACCTAACGTTTTGAGACTTTTAAATAACATTTCAAAGAATCTTATGACTAAAGAAATAGATATTTCTTAAGAGGTCAGGCGTGGTTCACACCTGTAATCCCAGCCCTTTGGGAGATCAAGGCAGAAATACTGCTTGAATCCAGGAGTTCCAGACCAGGCTGGGCAACACAGTGAGACTTCATCTCTACAAAATATAAAATAAAAAATAGCCAGGTGTGGTGGTACACGCCTGTGGTCCTAGCTACTCAGGAGGCCAAGGAGGAACATCGCTTGAGCCCAGGAGGTCAAGGATGCAATGATCCATGCTCTGGCTACTGCACTCCAGCCTAGGTGACAGAGCAAAACCCTGTCTCAAAAAAAAAAAAGAAACTTCATAAGAGGGGAATGAGAACTATCCAACATCTCAAAGATCAAGACAGCAGTCAGTAGTTTCAAAATAGATTTTAGCAGGAAAAAAAAACCACCACCATTTTTTTCAAACAGAATCTTACACAGAACTTCAATAAATGAAACAGATAAACATTTCGCTGCTTTAAGTGGTGATAGGGCTTCTACCTAACTTTCATCTAGGTAAAGGAGTAGCTGCAGAACATACTGAAAACCTGACCTAAACCTTGAACCTAAGGCTTACCAAAGCAACTTCCTTTGCTAAACAAAAAAGATGAGCTATACTGAATAAACAAAACAACAAATGCAGCCCTCCCAATCTTACCACACTATTTTTCTAACTAAAAGGATAAATCTCAAAAACCAAAACAGAATAAAAATGAAAGCTCCTAGTCATTCAAATGGATCTCCAGGATGTGTGACTATGATAGACCACTAGGAGTAGATATGAACCAAAGTGGTATCTGAACTAAAACACAAAGATGGAATGCCTTGCTATTCCAGTGAAATTTCTTAACACGAAAAAGGAGACAGGAAAAGTTATTTATGCAGAGTGACATTTGTTGGGGGAGGCCCAGCAAATAAAACACACACTTACTAAGGCCTCAGTAAACTTAGCATTGTTGTTGTGCATTGCTGGCCACAGAGATGCCAACTTGGATAAATGGTGACCCCAGCTCTAGTTCCCCATGTCTCAGTTAGAGACTTTCGTTAAAAAAATAAAGCCATCCACAGGCATAAAGAAAAAGTATTCTCCAAAGAGTTCATGTATAATAGGCTCATTTCACTCATATTATCAAATATTGATAATATCGGATATTAAATATTATCCCCCAGAGCAAAATATTACAAAGATTAAGACATCAAGAAAATGGATGCCCTAACAGTGAAGGGTGCTGGCCTAAACAACCCAACAACCTCTTACTCTATAATCTTCCAGACACATGTTATCAGTGGTCTAGGAATTCAAATAAAGTTGAGAAGGACTCACAACTGTATCGTGATAGCCAATCACTGAAGTGGCTATAAAACATTTGGAAAGAAACGTCTAAGAATCCATAAACGAGCAACCATGACTATGCTATCCAATTACCATTTACAACGATCAGGTTTCCCAGAGGCACACAGGTGAGAGTAGCGGAGCTGCCCTCGCAGAGAGGATGCACGTACTGCAGCTTATACACCCCGCTCAACTTCCACTTCTCCGGCATGGACAGTGCTTTGGCTTCGGTGCCCTGGGGAACGAAATGAAAGGGAAACAAATAATGAAGAAAGGTGTTACTCTCAAAAAGATTAAAAATCCAAAAGACTCCTAACTTGTTTGAAATAATCATTCCACATAGTCCTCTTAATACAACACATCAAATCATTAATATTGCCAATATATTTTATATTGTAGGATAATTATACTGTGTATTATAGGATGATATATTACAACACTTTTAATCAAAATTTTTGTTCAAATAGGTAAAATTGCATCATGGAAACAGGGATTGATCTCTCTCTTCAAAGACTCACTTCTCTGCCTAGCAAAACCATATGATTATTTAAAACTCCAAAATAATCAAATATCACTTCCTCTGTAAAGCCTTTTTCAAAGAAAAATTGTTTGCCATTTCCTTTCGTCCCCTAACATTCTATTCATAATTCTGTTACACTTCAACTGTATTATTATCTATGTTTACTTGTGTTATTTCTGATTATCTTTTTATTTGTCTCTCTCCTCTATTTATGTATGGACTCCTTGAGGACAGGAAATATCCCAATACTTTTATATCCTAATTTCTGGGTCAGTGCATGGCATGCTGCAGGTGTGCACTGATCACCGAATTACTCTATATCTTTGTAACTTATAACATGGCTCGCAGACCAGCAACATCGGTATTATGCAGGAGTATGAAGAAGTACACGGTCCATTCTACAGTTACTAAATCAGAATCTGCATTTTAATAAGGTCCCCAGGTATTCCAAAGCACACTGAAGTTCGAAAAGCAATATTCTAAATGTTCTCCTCCATGAATTCCTGGCATCCTACATATGAATATGTCTCTCCCAGAACTTCACCAATATAGCACAGTGCTTTATATTTTTGTCTATCTCTGCCACTCTCAGACTATGGGCAACTTGACAGCAGGAACCATCCACATGTATGAGCAATTATAAGATGTTTGTGTTTTGCTTGCAGTACTCACCTGAGGCATGTAACCTGACTCCAACATGAGAAGATGTATCAACACTATCAAGGCATCATTGGCATCAGAACAGTCAGCTGATTGATACAAGGTCTCTAATGAATGTGGCACTTGCCCTTCCACCGATTCACTACAGAGCATGGGTTCTGAGGGATAGAAACCTGTGCCCTCTGCCATATCCTCAATATCTTGAATTGACTCAGCTTCAAAATTTTGACTAGGCCCTAACTGAAAAAGGAAAACAAAACAATGAATTAATTAAAAAGACTTACTTTTACACAATACATTTTTTGTATCCTAACGTGAACTAAGTGCTGAAAGTCAAAGTACATCACTGGGTTCAGAAATGGGAGACATTTTAAGTGAGTCCTTATAAATAAATAAGCCTGCGACCTACTCTTCCATCCTCAATTCCTCACCTGTTAATTCTAGCTGATATATCAAAAACCTGGAAATCATCCTAGACTCCTCCCTCTACCTAACTAAACCTTGTCCCAAATCTGATCAGTCTTCAAAGTTCCACTGAAACTAACTCCTAAACATGTCTAAAAGTTGCCCCTTCCTGCTCCATTGGTACTTCAGACTCTCATCACGTATTTCCTGACATCCAACAAGAGCTTCCCTTGCAAGTATCCCTTCTTCAACTTTCTTGTCTTCCAATACATCCCATCCCCTGCTGCCAGAGTTTTCTTGACAATTAAAAATCCGATCATGTACTATGTCCCAGCTTAAAATTCACCAGTACCTCCCCAACACAGACAACAGCATTTCCCTCAATTGTGCCTTAGATGTTCTTAGGAAAAAAGGCGGTCCACATGGAATAAGTGTGGAAAATGCTACATGCTGCAGCCACCTAACTTCACCCTCCATATTCACAAAATACTGTATTTGCATTACAAAAACACTGAGGAGTCTAATAACAATAATAATAGTGTGTGCATAACACTTTACCAAAAAACTCCATCTTCAACAGTCAGCATCCCTGTAACACCATCTCACGAAACTAGATTTTCAGAGGACACTGAGAAATGCAGGCCTACAAATGAAGCCCAAACTTCTAAATCCCTTAGCATACAGAGTCCTCCATCACCTGATCTCTGACTCATTACCAAGTTCACTTTCTGCCAGTGCCTTCTTACTCACCCCAATATTCTCCACTTCTTCAAAAGAGGTAATACAGACCACAACTCTGCCTTACAACGGCCTTGATTATTTAACCTTATCACACCGCACTGTACTGCAATTTTCTGATTACATATCTGCATCCTTCCATGACTACAAGCTTATAAAAAAACAGACTACATGTCACCCATTTTTGTAACCCCAGTAAAGTACCTAGCACAAAGCAGGTATTCAATGTCTGCTGAACAAATGCTGAAGGATAATACCTTACAACTTCATAACGTCTTTATTTTCAAAATGTTTTCTTATTTGTACCTTATAACAATCCTGTAAAACAGGCATGGCAGGTATTGCCTTTTTATAGATCCTGTAATTATAAATCTGAAAGATTAAATAACATAATCAAGGTTACCAACTAATAAAAATTTGAAATGAACCCAGATCTCCAAACTTGCAGCTCAGGACTTTGAGATGAAAAAAAAAAAACTAAGTTACCTATATTAAGTTTGCTCAGAAAGCTTGTTTCCTAGGCATATGCCCAACTCTTAATGCAAAGCATAAGTTTCTTCTTTTTAGGGTTTGCATTTCCATTAAAGAAGGGGCAAAGGAAATTAAAATTACACAGTATATGTAAAAGGTTGGAGGAATGTAAGGGAGCCAGAGGTAACAGTTGTTCTTCCAAAATCTCTGAGGACCCAAGACCTGTGGCTTATGGAAAAGATCCAAAGTCACTTGTAAAAACCTAGAGGCCAATGAGAAGTCACACTACCCAAAAATGAGGTATGGCACAAAAATATTTCCGTATTTCCTGAGAAAATAGAAACTATATTAAAAACCACTTAACATCAAGCTAAACTATGGAACAATAGGTTTTGCTTCTTTACCACTATGTCTAACTTTTGGCCATTTACTACTTATTGGCAGTTGTGTGGAACAGAATATATGTGGAAAAATGAAAAAGAGTTACCCTAGGCTGAAGTACATGAGAGGGAGATATCAAAATCCCCTGCTGGGCTTGTCAAACCTTACTCCTACTCTATTGGAACTACTGACATTCTCTGGGCTATTCTGATATGAGTATTTATCAAATTCTTCACATGTGTGAAAATGAAAAAAAAAAGGTGAGCACCACACCTCTCTGAACAGATCATTTTGCCATATGTCATTTACAAAAGACTAAAACAAGTGACTAAGATGCATGAGAGCTAATATTAGATTCTGATACCTGCTACCCGTTTCTCATTCAAGACTCAAGAGGTACTGGATGAATTCCCAAATATGACGAAATAAGAAAATTGATATTTAATTACAAGAGTAAAATTTACCTCCTATGGTTTCAAGTTTTACGCATCTATTTTCCTTTTCTAATGCTCCATTTTACATTACAGAGTGTAATGTACTTAAAAGCATTATTTATGAGATCTCAAGCTCAGTTTCCATACTCTTAAGGTTTTCCTGTCACCCTTTACAAGTCTTGGAATACAAAACAATACGCAAAATCTTAGAACTGAAATTAGTTACTTCAAGCAACATTAATTTCTCAAAATTTTCCAAAAGGAAACTAGCAAACTATCACAAATACTATGAAAAGTTTCATCTTACTAGACAATTTTAAAGTACACAGAAGTAAAAGTAATGGGCCCTACTAAGTTATCCCAGAACAAGCCTATCAGCAAAAAAGACTCAGAAACATAATTTAAATATACAGCAAAATATTCTTACTCATTCCCCAGTTTACCTCTGTGAGGCAGAAACATACTGATACAATAATAATTTTAAAAATAAATTAAAATCCACATATCTGGACATAATTTTCACAACTTACCAATCTATTAAAAAGTATTTTTTAATATGTCTATACTTAATGCCATGACAAGTTACCATGAATACTTATACTCAAAAATATTTAAGGCCAGCAATTAAGTTGAGGTGATAAGTGTACATACAAAAAACAATTAACAAGATGGCACGTGTATTGGTATTAAAAAAATAAAAGTGATCATCTGTACCATTCAAACAATTAAAAGGTCGGATAAAGGCTGGGCATAGTGACTCATTTCTGTAATCCCATTACTTTGGGTGGCCAAGGTGGGCGGGTCACTTGAGGTCAGGAGTTCAAGACCAGCCTGAGCAACATGGTGAAACCCCATCTCTACCAAAAACACAAAAATTAGCCAGGCGTGGTGGTGTCTGTGGTCCCAACTACTCAGGAGGCTGAGGTGGGAGAATCACTTGACTCCAGAAGGGTAAGGTGGCAGTGAGCTGAGATTATGCCCTATACTCCAGCCTGGGTGAGAGAGTGGTACACTGTCACAAAAAAAAAAAAAAAGTGGGAAAAATGATGAGGCATATACAAGGCAATAAAGATAATCAGATAATCAATACAAAGAAATTAAAGAAAACTATTGGGCTATGGTTGGCAGGGGCTTAGGAAGATGGGTAGAAAATATAGACAAGAGAGGGAGGAAAGGTAACAGGTTCCAGTCTGGGTGAACAGTAAGAGCAAAGTCACAAAAGCAGTCACCAGGTTGTGTGTATGCACATGCATGCAAGCAGGTGCATGTGCTGGCTGGTGGGGGCGGGGGGAAATGATGGTCTGTTCTGATTGGAGATGACAGTTTAAAGGAGGGAAGAACAGAAACTAGCCCTAAAAAAGTTGAGTGGAGTAACTTTCCAGAAAGCCTTGAGCACCAGGTACAGGAGGACAGACATCATTTTCCTCTTCTGTAAAATGACAGGGTGGAACTAGAGATACATGGTATTTTTCAGCTAAAAAATTATGAGCACAAGTTTATGAGAAAGAGTTATGAAAGACAGCAAGGGAACAATAGCATCAGAACCATGTAGGAAGAAGGCAAACCCAGAAACAGACTGAGGAATAAAGCCATTGGAACCCGAAATGGAAAAGAAAAACTGACAAAGCTTATTAACAGGCTAGATTTCAGCAGTCAAAAATCACAGAAAACCACCAGTGCCACTGACAAAGAAGGGAACATGAGCACACATATTTCCAAATTTATGTTGAACATATAAAGTCTGCAGTGACAATCTAAAAATGCAAGTATAAATATCCTGCAAGTCATTTGGACATAATTGGACCATATCCATAGCCTTAATGAGTAGACCAGATCAGAGAAGCAAGGCTAGGAATCATGAGCTTAGGAACAATAATAGAAGTCAAGGGATAATTCATCTGAAGGACAGTATGTGAACAAAACAGGCAGAAACTAGGTACTTTGGGATGCCAGCCCCATATTGGTATAGGCATTTAGCAGTTAGAAAAATATATTCTATAAAAATATAATCTGCAGCCAGGCGCGGTGGCTCATGCCTGTAATCCCAGCACTTTGGGAGGTCGAGGCAGGAGGATCACGAGGTCAAGAGATCAAGACCATCCACACCAACATGCTGAAACCTCGTCTCTACTAAAAATACAAAAACTAGTTGGGAGTGGTGGCGTGCACCACCTCTAGGCCCAGCTACTTGGGAGGCTGAGGCAGGAGAATCGCTTGAACTGGGAGGCAGAGGTTGCAGTGAGCCGAGACTGTGCCACTGCACTGCAGGCTGGTGACAGAACAAGATTCCGTTTCAAAAAAAAAAAATTTATATATATATATAAAATAATGTGCAATCTATTGATGATAATTATCCTGACTGGAACAGAATTTAACTGAGGTGTTCAATATGACTTATCACCTACTCTATTTGATATATTGGTCTTTAATACCCACCGTACTGTCGTCATTCCAAACATCAGACTGGGCTGCCTGTCCTTGGAATGAATCACTCGGTTGTTCATCCTGTATGCTAGTCTGATTGGAGCTGGTGGCCAAAGAGGGTTGGTCATTATTCTGGAGTGAAGAATGCTCTGAATCTGTGGATGAAGGTAAATTAGGCGCTGGAATGTCATCTTGAAGAATCAAACATATCAAGTCCCCAGAAACAATCCCATAGGAAGCCAAGGTCTCTTCATCTCCAGTGAGGGCATCCTTGTAGTTCAATGTAATTGTAAATCGGGTATCAGAACTGCCAAGAAAGACGGATAAGCATAGTAAGAGCTACCTACTTCTGTTACCTTCAACAGCACATCTGAAGCATACATAAGCACACAGTATGACCCTAGAAGAACTAAGTCATGAAGAGACAAGGTCTCACTATGTTGTCCAGGCTGGTCTCAAGCTCCTGGCCTCAAGCAATCCTCCTGCCTCAGCCTCCTGAGTTGCTGGGATTACAGGTATAAGCCACCATGTCCAGTTACATTTTTGTTTTTGTTTGTTTTTTAGAGACAGGGTCTCACTCTGTTGCCCAGGCTGGAGTGCGGTGGCACAGTGGCACGATCACAGCTCATGGCAGCCTCAAATTCCTGGGCTCAAGCAATGCTCTCACCTCAGCCTCCAGAGGAGCTAGGACTATAGGCACACATGACCCTATCAAGCTTAAAGTTTTGAGAAAATTATCAAAATTATTTATCAATGAATGCCTAATCTATAGATTTCTAATGGCCAAAACTCTCAACCTGGGGGACAGGATACAGTAATTCTCTATCATTAATCCATGCTTTCCTCAATTCTAAGATGCACTTTTGTATATTTTGACATCTTTGAAATTAAGATGCTTCCTAGAATCAATCACACATCAACTGACAGCATTTTTCCCCTGCTGTTACATAAAACAATGTGTCTTCCAAGTGACAGCATGTAAGATTCAATGAAATACCTTTAAAATGCAAATTAGATCACATCATTCCTTCACTTAAAATCTTCTAATAGCTTCTATTTGGAATCCATAACATAACTTCCAAAGCTCAACGTTTGACCTCTTCCCATTTCTCCTACTGCATCCTATGCCATCCGTCTTCTCTCACTGTTTTCTATTCACATGAGCTTTCCATCAGTTCCAAAAAGTAGACCAACTTCATTGCAGCCTTCGGGCCTCTGTATTTGCTCGTCCAGATCTTCAAATGACTGACTCCTCCTCATCATTCCAGTCTCAGCCCAAATGTCACCTCTTCAGAGATGCCTTTCATTCAGACTCCAGCACTCTCTATTCTGCTATGTTCTACTTGAAAACGTCGTATCTACTTATCTATTATCTGTCTACCCTACCTCTGCCACTAGAACTTCAGTTTCATAAGATCAGGGATCTTGTCTGAACAGTTCAAACCGTATCTTCAATACTGGCAAATAAAGTATTTGTGAAATAAATGCAACCACCAAACATTAGTTGGGAAGATCAAGATGAGTGTGAAATCAAGGATGTCTATTCAATATCCTTACAGGACAGTTTACCCACAATGGTCCCAAAAAACCAGATCCATATATTCATAATCACAAAAAGTTAGGGGAGTGCATGTATATGACTGAGTATAAATTCATCTCTCTTACTGACAATGACAAGCTACATTCACCCTTCTACTGATTGTCAGTTATGATGCCTTTTAGTGGAACACAGCACAAACCCAAAAGCTCACTGCTAAACAAGCTCAGAATTCAAATAAGCCTGAAGCAACAAACTCCCATTCTTTCTGCATCGCAGATTATTTGACATTAGAAGAATAAAATGTTTTTCATCACACAGTGGTGAGGAATAACTAACAAAACACTATAAAACATTTTTTAAAACATTTACACTCAGCAATACTAATTTCATTACTTTTTTGAGACATTAACAAAAGATGAACTCCTTTAACAATTATATTGTTTATTCTCACAATGCTGCATTTTGAAAAGTGCTCCAAATAATTCATGTTTTTATTTCACTCGTAAACATATTTTTTCTTACTAATTGAAGTGTCCTTGGTAGAGAAATTAAAATTACTGAAATAGAAGCTATTCCTGTTTGTTAGAAAACAGGTGGCCCTGCTTCTGTTTTCAAAATGCTTTGATAAACAAAATGTTGAAAGTCTGCCATCTGCCCACAAAACCACCACCCCAACTTTGCCAGAAAAAGGAAAAACACCTCAAAAGAACTGTGTGTTTACGGGTCGTCTGTCACAGCAAAAGGTTGCTTTTTAAAACAGTATCTAGTACAATGTACATTCAAATATCTGTTTGTAGAAAAGGTCATGGTCCACTCAATAAATATACCAGCTTTTCCTCCCACTTTAGAAAAAGGGAAAAGCTATTTCTAAAGTAATATGTAGTTTTCCAGGATTCTACCTCTGAAATTGGGGAGTTAAGAGAAGTATTTAATTCCAGGAAATGAAATTCTAGAAACTCCAGGCTTTTCAAATGTATTTCATGGCTACTCTGTCTATGGAGTAGCCATTCTTTTATTCCTTTACTTTCTTAATAAGCTTGCTTTCACTTTTCTCGTAAAACAAAAACAAAACAAAAGCATTTCATGAGAATCCTAGCTCCACTTGCTCAGTAATTTTAAAAATAATATCATATGGACGTATTTTAAAACTGCACATTTATTAGAAAATGAGAATACTTTCAGAAAAAATGAGTTTACTTTCACAAGCTGAAGTTCACATTCTGTCCAGGTAACCAGCCTCAACCGTAAAAACAAATCTGAAAGAGAAACCAACGGGCCCTTTTGCGCAAACAGTCATACTGAGTTTCACATCCTTTCAAGACTGCCTAATTTAAAAATAATAATAATATATATATATATACACACATGGTAATACCTTTAAAAGATTAAGTTTGAAGATTTATTCAATCTTCTACTCATAACCTACAGTATGTAAAACATACGGGTTTAACAACAAGAAATAACAGTAGGCATGTCACTTACCATAATGTTTAAAAGGAGTTATGTCAGCATCTTATTTAGGGTTTATTTTTTTAATCAGGAAAAAAACAGGCTTACTTTCAATCTAATAATGTTTTATCCAGAAAAATGAAAGGGCGAGAAGTTCAGAATAACGGCCTCATTTTACCCAATTCCCTAAAAATAAGGTGAAAACGCAGGAAGGTTTTTGTTTTTGAAGAATTCACCTAAAAATCCCCAGGGAACATCATTTTTATTTTTCCTTAGCACACTCAAGTTTCAAATTCACTAGCTCAGTATTTGAAGAGGACCACTCTTACCGTGCCGCTTTACTCCCAAATTGTTGTTCCCCAAAAAGTATCTTTTAGGGAAACAAAGCAGCTTCATCTGCAGTCCCATAAACCAATAACAGAATATGATCCTTTCTCAACTTTACTGCCCCCAAACTGCAAGCTCTCAAGATCAACCTTTGCCTCAGTTTTAGCAAAAAAGCAACATTTCGCCCAAGAAAATCAAAGGGCTGAAACATGCCTACACGCTGTACTTTCTAAAACTTTTCAGCGGCTAAGTCCAAGCGCTCGCCGCGATGCCTGGCGCATGAACATAACAATCTAAAATTGCTGCCGCTTCACAGCAGCCATACAAGCTACCGGTGGCCTCGGATGGAGGGCAGATTTTTAACTTCCAGCAATTTCCAAACTTTTTCATTGAAATACTCCAACAGCTGAAGAAATTAACTCGGACCCCTGACAGTCCAGAAAGGTTTAACCCAAGCCAAGCTCATCATTTCCAACTTGAAATCTAACTAGTTGTGGGAATTTTGCGTTCCCTTCTCTCCCCGGTTTCGTTTACTGCAAGACCAGAGGCCATGACTCACCCAGGAGGGGACCGGAGCCCCCGGGAGGCCGCGCCATGTTCTCCAGGAGCGGGACCCCAGCCGACTACCCGCGCGTCCAGTCGCCGGCACCCCCCCGGCTCCGCGACGCCCGGAAGAGCCGAAGCCTCCAGTGAAGGTCCCCCCACCCCCGGCGTCCCCGCACCTGGCCTAGCGCCCGGCCACGCCCGCGCCTGCAGCCCACAGATGACGCCAACCCGCCCTGCACCCACCCCCAGCACTCCCCACTCCCCGCAGGCCGCCCAGCCCCGGCCCCCGCGTACCTGTACCCCCAGGTGCACAGCAGGGCCTGGCTCAGGTGCGCGCGCAACTGCCCCAGCGTCGGCTCTGCCTCGGGCACCTCCAGCGGCCAAGTCCGCTTCAGAAGCCGCACCCGCAGCCTCATGACGGCGGCAGGCGGCCCGTGGGGCCTGGACCCGGAGGCGGCGACGGGGACGGCGGCGGGACCGAACAGCTCCCGCCCCAAACGGCTGCGACTCCGGACCGGCTATTACCGGAGCCGAGGGGTTGCTGAGGCGAAACGAGGAAACAACCCCGCCACCGTGGCCGCCCTGCCGGTGGGGCTCTGGAATATGAGCGCCCGCCCCACTCTTGAGGGCCCCGCCTGGAGCGGACCCCGAGAGCTGGAGGCGGGCAGGCGGCCTAAAGGAGCCAGGCCTCTCGGGGTCGGCCGATCGATGACTCGGCGCGCAACCGCGCTGCCTGAGAGCGCGGGCACAGTGCGCAGGCGCCGAGATGCGGCTGCTCCCTGGCGTCCCGGTCTTTCCTCGGCGGTAGCTGGAACTGCCTGTATTTGCTCCCTGTGTGCATGGAACAACGGTAGCGCAGACAGGGATGCTGTAGACAGACAATACAGTCGCCACTCCCCAGGACCAAGTGTCACCCCATTTCTTCTGTGGCCCGCAGCTCCAGCGGCATCTGCTCTGAGAAGCCTTAGGTTAATCCTTAGGCTTGGCCGGGCGCGGTGGTTCACGCTTGTAATCCCAGCGCTTTGGGAGGCCGAGGCGGGTGGATCGCTTGAGCCCAGGAGTTGGAGATCAGCCTGGGCAACATGGTGAGACCCCCATCTCTACAAAAAAAGACAAGAAATTACTCGGCGTGGTAGCGCCTGCCTGTGATCCCAGCTACTTGGGTGGCTGAGGCAGGAGGGCCGATTGAGCCCGGAGGTCGGGGCCTCAGTGAGCTGTGATCGCACCACTGCACCTCAGCCTAGTTCCACAGAACGAGACCCTGTCTCAAAAAAAAAGTAGAACTATTTGTAGCCAGTAATCTATGTTCGACAGTTTATTAGAACTCTATTGCTGCGTAACAATCACCCCAACGTTTAACGCAATAAACATTTGTTGTCCCACAGGTTTTAGAGGTCAGGGATTTGGGGATATGTGGCTGGGTGGTTCTGTCTCCAGGTCTCCCATGAGATTACAGTCAAAGTGTAGGCCAGGGCAACAGTTATTGATTAGGGCCGGAGGATCGGCCTCCAGGATGGCACACTCATGACTGTTGGCTGGAGACCTGTTTTTCACCACGTGAACCTCCCCATAGGGCTGTTTGAGTGTCCCCATGACATGACAGCTGGTCTCCCTCAGAGCAGGTGATCACGGAGAGACCAAGGCATAAGCCGCAATGTCTTTTATGACCTAGCTCCAGAGGTCACATATGGCTTTTGTCATATTTACAAACCAACCCTCTGTGTGAGAGGATCCACCCGAAGGTATGAATGCCAACAGACAGGGATCGCTGCAGGCCATCCTGGAGGCTGGATACCAGAAAGGATCTAATTAATGATAACTTAGATGAGAGAGAGTATCAAGTTTCATCCTTGTATGGTAACCATAGTCCAAATCCTTAGAGTCAAATAAAGTTTCTCCCAACAGGTGGCAGCACTTGTCCACATCCTGCCCTTGATTCTGCAAATAAATATGTATTGATTGCCTACTATGTGACAGATACCGCACATGCGGGAGACTCAGAGACCAAAAACACGTGTTTCTGTCCATGCAAAGTTTACAGTTGAGTGAATCAGCTCTTGCAGTAGAGTGTAAAAAGTGTCTGCTTTATGACAGACATACAGACCTGAGGATTGGGGTTGTTAGAAATTTGATGTTGTAAAGAAACAGCACTTGAATGTAAATTTAATTTTTTTAGCAAGGCCATTTGTACTTTTTGTGGAAAGGGTATACTCGCCAGTTTTGTCACGAGAGCACACTGAACAAAGGAGACAGGGTCGTTTATAAGCTGACGCATCCACTTTACTGCTGTGTCTGGTTTTTATTGGCTGGAACGGGACTTTATATTTTGTATTTGTCTTGACAGGCTAGTAATTTAGAACTTTTTAAAAGAGGCAAAGGCAGAGGAGAACAAAGGAAGGAGGAAGTAACTTGTGGAATATTGAGAAAGGTAAAAACCCCTTTAAATAAGGAAGAGGAACAGGCTGTGACTTAATGTTTGTTTGGACTAGTGTAGGTATGTTAGGGCAAATATTGAGGCTAAATTGTGGGAGTTCAGAACATAAAGTACATTGATTTTTTTATTATGGCTAGCAGATATTTAAGAATGTTACCACAGGTCTTTGAATAAATTTTGGTTTTAAGAGTGTACATAGAGGTTTGCCGTGCCCATAGAATTCTTTAGTAGTGAGCAATGAGGAATGGTGCCAGGACCAGGATGACTCTGTGTGAACAGAGTGATGGACAGCACAGGTACATCCCAGATAAAGAAGAGCCTTGGGCTAAGCAGAGGGTTTGGGACATATTCTAGAATGTATAGGAAGCCGCTAGACAGTTTGTAGCAGGGGGTCTTTACTATCAGGGTTCTTAAGTAGAAGCTGACTCTGGCTCAGCAGAAAAGGTGAGTATTAAAAGGATGCTGTATAGCTCAGGGAATTCTAGGGAGGATGCAGAAGTGGCCCCAGGCTAAGCTTCCAAGAATGAAGTTCAGAACCAAGATGAAAACTGGCCTGGTAAGGAAACTACTATGACTGGGATTGCTACTGGAGGAAACCGCCATCACAACTGCTGGGACGCACTGGGGAATGGCTGCCACTGCCGCTGTTAACATCAAATCCCATATGCTTTTGCAGCCTCCTACATAATGCCAAACTTCCAAATGAGCCTGTTTCTTCCCCTCGCTCACTTCCACATCAAAAGCTCATAGGGCTGTCTGATTGAGGAAGTCTGAGCCCCACACCTGAGTCCTGGCTACAAAGGAGACTGGGAATTTGGGGTCTGAACTCCTTCCTCGGGGAGGCAAGATGTAGACTATTGGAATTTCCTCCTGAAAAAGGGAAGGCTATTCAAAAGATGATAGGAAGCCTTGAATCTGACAGGTGTACACTAACTACTAGGGGCAGGCTCAGATCTGTAATGTGAATCTATCACTAGAGATTATGATAGGATGTGGGGGATAGATTAGGGTTTCTCAACCTCAGCACTGTTGACATTTTGGACCACTTAAGTCTTCGTTGCAAGAGGCGGTTCTGTGCGTAGCATGTTTAGCAGCATCCATGGTCTCTATCCACAAAATGCAGGTAGAACACTCTCCCTCCCCGGTTGTAAGAACCAAAGATGCCAAATATTCCCTGGGAGGAAAAGCCACCTTGAGAACCACTGGATTAGAGACCAGCTCTGTCTCTATAGAAGATTTTTTAAAAAATCATCCGAGCATGGCGGTCCCAGCTAACTAGGGAGGCTGAGGCGGGAGCATGCTGGAGCCTGGGAGGTTGAGGCTGCAGTGAGCCGTGATCACACCACTACACTCCAGCTTGGGTGACAGAGTGAGACCCTATCTCAAAAAATTAAAATTAGAAATAAAAAGAGGGAGAGAGAGGGACAAAGTTTGGGCGGGGGGGCGCAGTAAGAATTTTCCCAATTTGATCTGTAAACTTCAGTAATTATTTGAATCTTTTATCACAAGAATGTGTTCACGTATTTATTGGATACTTAAGAAAAATGTTATTAGGAATATTAGCATCTGATCATAGTGAGGAATGCTGTTTTCTGCTGCAAGAGCTAGATAGAATACTTGAATATACTTTATTTCGGTGGCTCTCAACTGTGGCAACTGCCTGACAGGAGACATTTGGGTAGGGAGTTATGGTGCTACTGGCATCTAATAGGTAGTGGTAGGGATGCTGCTAAACGTTCTTTTATTTATTTATTTATTTATTTTTGAGGCGGAGTCTTACTCTGTTGCCCAGTCAGGAGTGTGGTGGCACAGTCTCAGCTCACTGCAACCTCCACCTCCAGGGTACAAGCCATTCTCCTGCCTCAGCCTCCCAAGTAGCTGGGATTACAGGTGTGTGCCACCATGCCCGGCTCATTTTTGGATTTGTAGTAGAGACAAGTCTTTACCTCATTGGCCAGCCTTGTCTCGAATTCCTGACCTCAAGTGATCCACCTGCCTTAGCCTCTCAAAGTGCTGGGATTACAGGCATGAGCCACTGCACCTGGCGTGCTAAACATTATATAATAGACAGGACAGCCCCCTACAACCAAGAATTATGTAGCTCAAAATGCCAGCAGGACCGAAGTAGGGAAATCCTGGTCTACTTAAATTGGGCTCACACCACTGATTCCCAAATGTTTCAGAGTAATATCACACTATCTTGTTTGTTTGGTTCCATAATACCCTTCATATCTCAAAAAGTCATATATATATGCATTTAAATTTTAGCATGAATTTAAATTCATTTTGAACTGCAATAATATAATGTGACTCCCTTCTAGATAACTAGTAACAATGGAAGGAACCGATGTGGGTAGGTTCATTTGTCAAAACCAAGAGACCATCGCTGCTCTAAATGGTTCCAGAGCGTGGCTGGTGTGAGGAGTCACAGTCTGAGTCAGTCATTGATGTCCACCCAGAAACATCATTACACAGACATCAATGGAGTGTGTGGCCTGGGACAGAGCGGGGACAAGAGGAGGAGCTACTGCTGGGTGATGGGATGATTCTGCCAGACTTCTCCCCAGCCCTCCCAGGGTGAACTGTAGGATGACTCATCACCTCCAGAGCCACATGAACTCCAGGCAGCTGCTTCTGGTTAGAAATCAACTAGTTATTTCAAACAAACACATAAATCTGTGCTATGCAGATTCAATTAGCAGCTCAGAAAACCAGATGGGTTGCCTAGCAACAGCATCCTTCCCTCTTCCCACCTTCTGCATACTCTGGGTTGTGGGTTGCCCTTTAGTGACCTTCCTAAAAGGGCAGCATAGTATAGTGGTAAAAAAGGCAGATCCTTGAAAACGGAACACCTGGGTCCTGAATCCTGGCTCCACAACTTACCAGCTGTAACGTCTAAGCTTAGGCAAGTTGTCCCACCTAGCAAATGGAAATAACATTAGTTCCTTATACAGTCTTGAAGAGTATTTAGTGAATTCATATATGGATAGTGCCCAGAACATAACAAACACTCAATAAATGTTAGCTCTTATTTTTCTCTACCCTATATATCCTTCTTTAGGGTTTCTTTTTAACCAGATTTCACCAACACAAATATTGGGGGCAATGAGGGATTGGAACTCACAATGTCTTTTGCCCCAAGACTGCCTTATGTGGCACCTCCCTCCATATCCACATAATCCCTCTTCCCTCCCACTTTTGTCTCCTACCAAGAATAATATAATTTGTCCTCCAATCTCAAAAATGTTTGATCTTCAGTTAGCTCTTTCTATATGGTTATAGCCCAGACATTCTAGAAACCAAG